AGCGCAGACCGCGCCAGCATATGAGGATTTCCCGCCAAACATGGCCCCCGTCCCGGAGAGAGAGGGAGAGGAGACCCTCCACACGCAGAACACCCAGGTGGGACACACAACACCCCCAGCCTCGCCAGAGGACTCAGCCCCCACCACTAAACATCCAGAAGCTACTGGCGGCAGATGTAGCCCTGATTAAAAGGGACATGCAACGAGTCACAGACCGGGTCACAAACGCGGAGAGGGACATAGCAGGCGTCCATACCCCTATGACCACCCTGAAAGACTCAGTCCAACAGCTGCACATGGAACAACACGTCCTAGCAACCCAAATAATGTCCCTGGAAGACAAACAACGCCGAACACACATAAAGATCCGCGGCATACCCAACACCATCACCACTGAAGAACTGCCGCACTATACGAGACGTCTCTTGACTACAATCCTGTCACAACCAATAGCTAAGAAAATCACACTGGACGGTATGTACCGAGTAACAGGCTCAGCACGCACCGCACCGGGCACCCCCAGAGATGTCATCTTACGATGTGTCACCATACATGACAAGATTCAAATAATGACTGCCCTGAAAGGCAAAACGCCACTGGAATTTGAGGACGCAAAGTTATTATTTTTTCAAGACCTCACCAGAGCCACGTTACTTAGACGCAAATCTTTTGGCCCAGTAACGTCCACTCTACGCAATGCGAACATACCATATAGATGGGGGAACACCGGCTCCTTAATTGTCCATCATGCTGGGACCACCCACAACCTTACCTCCCCCATGGGAGCCCCAGCCTTCCTGTCCGCAATGGGCTTGCAGCCGAATCAACCGCCTACCACAGACGACAATCAAGATGTCACCTGGGACCCAACACCCAACACCTCAACCGGACAACGGGCGGAATACCCACAGCGCCCCAACACCTGACCCTTATCTGGGACTGAGTCAACCTGGCCGCTGAACAACCATCTAGCCATCGGAAACCACGCCGACCAACTACTTGCTTGGACTTTTACCCACACCAATTGAGAGTTTCTCATGTTCAGTTACTATGTTTTTTTTGTTTTTTTTTTAATTTTATTTTCTTGTATGCACATGCTAACAACACACCCCAACTTCTGGCATAGGTACCACTACCCCCAAACATAACGGGGTTTACACACTTCTCTCACCCAGCAAGCCACTGGCCTCTGAGACCCAGGCAATCTGGCAACAAGAAGCGCCTTAAACACCCCCCCCCCGCCACCCCCTTAGGTTAGGGGTAAAACTAAGCGTGCCAGTCCACCACCAAGTCATCGACTGGATCAACGTCCACACGAACATGAATATAACTCAGCATATAGTACCCAGTAGGTACACACACCCTGGCACTACTAACGCACATAGACGCCAACCTGACACCACACATGTGTAGGCTCCTACGCAGCCCTGCAGCCTCATGCACCACAAAGGAGCATACACCACACCCCAGGCCTGTAGTACCCCGGGAGCGCAACACAGTCCGATCACTAACCTGCAGACATCTAGCTAGCCTCGGGTTTGTTCCCAAACATGGCCGAAATAAAAAAAAAGTGCTTACCATACGCATTTCACTGTAAATCCTAACACCAACCCCACATGCTAAGAGATTACCTGCTACTGTTGAATATTTGCAAACTTATGATCTCATGAAATGCTGAATGTAACTCGCATGTACAACTGCGCACAGAAAAATAAAGAATAAAAAAAAATAAAAAAAAACATCCAAAGTTTAATGAAAAATTTTAAAAAATTGTTGACAGCTCAACGTTTCAGTCCTCCTCTGGGACTTTCATCAGGAACAATAAAGATATCTCACAATACCCATCTTTAAATAGGCACAGCAATTAACATAATTAAACATTAAATTCCAAACTGAATTAGCATAATTGAAAGCTAAATTCAAGGAATTAACATATTAACAGGTATATCCAAACAACGAAATCCAACTCACCAGTGTATGTTTGCAGTGGCAGCCGGCGTTCTGAGAACGCTTTCGCGCATGCACGCCCATAGCCCCTCCCATGTCTGCATGACCGAACGACCCCTGCTGTCATGGCGACCGCGAGACGCCCCCCGCGACACCATGGCAGCAGCAGCAACACTAAGCACTAAACTAAAGAATTGCAAAGAAATAGAGACCCAAATATAGAGCAAACACATTACATATCAAGGACGCCTGTGGGCACTCAAAAGGGCTCCACCCACTATGTATGACCGTATAAAGCGTCCGTTGCCATGGAAACCGGACGAAAGTGCCGGTTCACAAACCAACCAGGACGGGAAGAGGCATACAAGGCTAACAATACAGTAATATATAAAGATACAGCCTAATCTTGTGTGTATGTATGATGTGCAAAATGCATATGGTAGATAAAGAGTACATATAGTGAAAAGCAATAGACTACAGAGTGTGTATACAAAAGCTGACAAGGAGTATGTCTTCTATATATATCATATTGAAAAAAGTGCAATATGCATATGATTAATGAGGATAAACTGTGCTACATATATGTATTAACTAACAAGGAATATATCCTCTAATAATATCATGTTGAACCAAAGTGCAAAGTGCATATGAATGAGAATAAGCAAGAAATGCATAATGAAAAAATGAAAAAATTTTGAACAGCCGCTTTGCATCTGTCTTCCGGAGAGGCACACGCTTTTTCGGCCCAAGAGGCAGCCATGACTCTAGTAGAATGTGCTTTCAAGGAGGCAGGCAGAGGTAGATTCAAGGAAGAATAAGCCAATTTAATAGTATCCACCAGCCATCTAGCTAAAGTGGCCTTGGAGGCAACTTGGCCTTTACATTTTCCAAAGAAATGCACGAATAGATGATCAGTCATCCTATACGTAGAGGAGCGGTCCAAGTAGATTTTCAGAGACCTACCCACATCTAGTTGGCTCCAATCAAATTTCCAATCTGGCATAGATGGACCATTAAAGGAAGGAAGAAAAATAGGTTGGTTTATAACCTTGGAGGAAATGACTTTCGGAAAAAGGAAGGCTTAGGGTACATAACCACTTTATCCGGAAGAAGTTTTGTAAAGGCAGGAGAGGAAGAAAGGGCCTGGAGTTCCGAATTAGCCGAAGTAATGGCCACCAAAAACACGGTTTTCAGGGACAGATTCTTCAATGAAGCTTCTTCCAAAGGTTCGAAAGGCTCAGTACACAGAGATTTCAAAACTAAAGACAAATCCCAAGAGGGAAAACATTTTCTTAGGAGGCTTTACGAGTCTAACATCTTTAAAAAATCTCCTAATGAGAGGATCAGAAGCCCAATTTTTTACCAAAAAATTACTGAGAGCGGAAACTTGGACTTTGAGGGTAGAGTAAAACCTTGAGCAAGACCATCTTGCAAAAAATGAAGGATAGTATCAGTAGAAGGAGAGGATCCTACGCAATGATGAGATATGCACCAGTGAAGAAATCTCGTCCATATTTTTAAGTTGATTGAAGAAGTAGAGCTTCTGGTAGAATTTAACAGTAACTAAAACCTCTCTTTAATGCCCCTATTATGCAGAATTAGCCATGCAGCAGCCAAGCAGTCAACCTGAACATGTTCAACACTTCTACTGGAATTCCCTTGTTTTCCAGAAGATCCAGTGTTACCGGGAGAATCCAGTACTTTAAAGCCATCTTCTTTAAAACCGAGAACCAGCTGTGGTTTGGCCAGTACGGTATTATGGCCAGAATACGAGCTTGATCTGATGTAACCTTTGCAGAATCCTTGGGACAAGGCTCACTGGGGGAAAAATGTAAGCAAGGGCAAACTCCCACCGGATCGAAAGACCATCCATTACCAGCAGCTTGTCTACCTTGAAGAGGGAGGCAAACAATCTTACTTTTGCATTTGATCTTCTTGCCATAAGGTCTATGACTGGCAGACCGAATCTCTTCACCAGATGAGCGAAAATCTAGATTGAGAGACCATTGGTTCTGGGACCATTTTGATCTGCTTAAATCGTGCACTACCATGTTGTCTACTCCTCGAATGTGAATGGCGGAAATGTTGTCTAGATGACTTTGAGCCCAGGACATAATCCGTGAGCAAAGGAAATACAATTTTTTTCCCTTGTATCGCCTTGTTTGTTTAGGTAGGAGACTGTAGTCTGATTGTCCGACTAGATCTTTACAGCTTTTCCTATAATGAAATCCTTGAACTGCTGAAGAGCATAGAGAACTGCCAACAACTCCCTGAAATTTGAAGATTCCTTTGTTTCCTTTTTCGACCAAACACCTTGTCTCAAGTGATACAGGAGGTGAGCTCCCCAACCTGTATTTGAAGCGTCTGTAGAAATCACGATCCAAGATTTTTGACGAAAAGACAGGCCTTCTGTAATGAATTTTTCCTCTAGCCACCAAGAGATCTTTTCTTTTGTATGATCTGATATACTCATTAAAGCATTCAAGTCTTCTTCCTTCTTTGACCATTGGACAAGAATTTCCCACTGTAAGGGCCTTGATTCCGCTCTGGCCCATTTTACTGCCGGAATTGTAGAGGTCAGATGACCTAAAACCTGCATGGCGACGCCAAGCGAGCTCCGCAGCGAATGAGCACTTTGGGCCCACTAACAAGAACCTATCTCAACGAAAGCGGCACTAAACTGACCCGCGGACTGCCATTAACGATATGGGCAGCAAAACTAAAAATCCAAAGCCCGACAACCCGCGGCAACACCAAAGTATAGGCGACATGTGAAAGCAAGCGCTCAGCGCCCAAGGCCCAAACATGGCCGCCTACAACGACTACGGCTCGGATGTATCCAACGACTTCACCACAGAGGTGGAGATGGAGAATCCACATACGTGGATACCACCCCGCCAGTCACCCCTCTGAGAACAGACTCCTCACCGGTGACCGTCACGGTCATGAAAGACCTCCTAGCGGAGCTCCGATTAACAATACAGGCACAAGGACCTGCAGGGCCTAACGGGCCGCCTGGGCACACTGGAGTCAGACTCCCAGTACACCAAGCAACAAACACAACTCCTGCAGCAAACGGTCCAAGAACTCAAACTACAGCACCTTACCTACGAGCAGCGCATTGCAAATGAACTGCTACCGACACTGGGAATCCCCTCAGTCTCTCATCTCCCCTCGGAGACCAGCACTACGCCGGCTCACGGCTCCACCTGGAACCCCGCAACAGTGGTCCCATTTGTCCCCAGATGAGCCGTGACAGCAACCAAAGCAGCAGCCAAAACCTGAGTTAGCCCCGAAGTCAACCAGCTTACCAACCACCATACCTCAGCAACACCACTTGCTGCACCCATTGAACTTATAAACCAGTTAAGCCATATTATTGTTAAAGTTTTATTGCGGCTTCTTGTTATGGAGCACCCACACTAGCACTTGCAGCCAAGGGCACCCTATAGCCACTCACATATAGCTCCTCTGAGTCCCCCCCCTGCGGGGTAATAGGGGCCACTTAGACAGCAGCAGACGGGGGCACTAAACCACCCACTATAGGTACCAGGTGGACAGACCACATGGGCCACCAGCGTACCACATCACTATCATACAAGAACCGGCTCTACAGCACAGGCGCTACGAGCTCACACCAAGCAAAGACCACCTACCACGCAACACAGCACAGCTTCCACCAGCATAGCATGACCCCAGCGCAAGCCCATACACGGCAGAACATCACGCTCCAGGCCCAAACTCTAGGCTACCTATGCTCATACCGACAACTAGTGCCCCCCCCACAGCCACACCAGCTACACTCCCACTGTGCTACAGCTATGTGCCATGAGAATGTTACTCTCCCAATGTTTTAATGTTATATGCCAAACGGTTACTAACTTTATTATGGCTACTGGTATTCCTAGCTTATTCCAACTTATAAACAAAAACGTGCACTTCTTTGCAATGTCACTGTGATGAACCTGATGCTCAATTTATGAGTGCTGTTGTGGCACTTGACACATGCCTGTAACCACCTCTGCACAGAAAAATAAAGAATTAAAAAATTTAAAAAAAGAATGAGCTTTTAAATAAACAGTCCTGAGCACCCTGAAAAAACAAAAACAAAAAAAAACCTGCATGGCTTTCCTCACCGAACATTCTGACATCCAAAGAAGGTTTTTTATTAAAATCTTTATCTTTTTTCTTTTCTCTTGTCAGATGAACCGACAGTCTCTGACTTGATCAAAAACCCTAGAAACAGGATAGACCTCGTAGGGGTAAGGTGTGATATTTCTATGTTGATAATCCAACCATGTTCTTCCTTGCATCCTTAAAAAAGCTGTGACAGGTGCGAGTAACTTTGTAAAAATCCTGGGTGCTGAAGCTAGCCCGAATGGAAGGGCTTTGAATTGGAAATGATGGACCTTTTCCCCTTTCCTCATAGCAAACCTCAGGTATTTTCTTGATTTCACATCCATAGGAATATGCAGGTAGGCATCCTTTAGATCCAAAGTTGCCATGAAATCTCCTTTTCGAAGGATACGGGTGACAGACGTTATAGTCTCCATTCTGAAATGTTGGTAAGGAATTAGTTTTTTCAGGTTTTTTAGATCCAAGATTGGACGAACCTGGAGTTTACCCCTTGATATACTTGGGAAGTTGGAATCCTTTCTACCACACGTTTTCTTAATAGGGAGACCGTGGCAGAAAAAAGGGCTTGTTTTTTTAACTTTGACCGGTAGGAGGAGACAAGGAAACTCGGTCTTGGAACATCTAAGAATTTTATTCGTGTTGTGGACAAAAATATTAACCCAATCCATGTTAGTAAAATGCCTATTTACTCAACATAACTATAATCAGCATTATTCAACTTTCTATGTGATTTCATAAAATGACCGCTAGGGAGTTTCCCCTTTAACATCGGCTAACACCCTCATTAACAAGATGGCGCTGGAATCTGAGGGAGACCTCCAAGATACCAGTGACCACACCCGGTAGGAAGAGCACTAAATGAACCACTTAACATCTAACCAATTATTGATGTATTATTCCATGTTATCTCTGACAATGCATATGATGTAATTTTGCTTCATAAGGGACATGCCATCCCCCCAGAAAAAACATTCCTCAAGTTTTTCATTAACCCAAAACTTGTGTCTGGTGTAAATTACTATAGTAGCGTGCACGCATTATTTCTTTAATTTGGCCGGGGGCAGATACGCAAGATGATCAATTTATTGATTGATTTCCACATCATTTGGCGCCCAACGTGGGGCACCGGATCTCGCCGGTTTGGACGGCTGGAAAACGGGACCGGAGCGGACCTCCGGAAAGTGGGACAACCGGAGCCTGATCACCTCCTAAATACAGCGGTTTGCCTGTATTCTCCTGCTTTGTGTCAGTCTGTCTCCGTGTCCACTTCTGGCTTCCAGAAGGATACAAGACAGGTAATCTCTTATCCTGTGCCTTTTTAAACGAACCTGTCGATAGCGATTGTCTATCTGCCTCCTGAATGTATGCGTGCGTGTGAGACAGCTGGCGTGTGGTTTGTTTTATTATCATTATAGCCCTGTAAACGGCTGGGAGCCGCCTAGAGAAAGGCTGGGAATTTATTGTAGGCCTGGTGAAGGGCTGTGAGCCGCCTAGAGAAAGACTGGGAATTTTGTCCGCCCGGTGAAGGGCTGGGAACCGCCTAGAGAAAGGCTGGGGATTTACTGTAGCTTGACTGCCTAGCAGGCAGGGAACGCATCCGCCTAGAGAAAGGCTGGGAATTTTGCTGTACTGTTCAGAGTAGAACGGGGTTCATTTACGGTTTAGTTACTACTATGTTCGTAGTTTTACTGTTCTTTGTTATATTATGTTTTCTATTCAGTTGTAGTCATAATGTGAGTACCCTAGGGTGTTTTTTTTTTTTTGTGTGTTTGTATGCGCGCCTTGATTCCGGATTATGTGCACATCTCTACATCTATGACTCCTGTAAAAGTCTTTTGATTAGTCCCACATTCACCTTTTCCCTTATCCTCTACCTCCTCTGTACTTGTTGCCCAGAGCTGTGTTAGTCACCCACTCTCGCTCGCTCAGATCCGTGACCACCATCTCGGGTGGGTGGATCCTGTGACTCGTCTACGTTTAGGGAAGACGCACAGGGATCAATTCCTCGTGGCAGTCGAGCACTGTAGACATTCCTTCTTTTTCCTCTCTCTATCTCTGTCCCTCTTACGGAGAAAGCCTTGTTTGGTAAAAATGGAACAGGAACATGCCAGACCTTCGAAGGGTTATTTAGCTTGTGATATCGTTAAGGAGAGAGCAGGAGAGGAGGCTATGTAAAAAATAAAGAAGATAGCAAAGATTTGTGGTTTTCAAATGTCACCCAGTGGTAGATTGCAGCCAGAGTTTTGTAGGAAATTGCTCATTGATAAAGAGGGCTTACTATTGGATAATTGGTTGACAAATGCCATAGAGGATTGGTATCGGGTAGCAAGAGGACTCAAGCGGGAGGGTTGGTCAGAGGAAGAAATTGATTTTGAAGGACAAACGATTTACGTATATCACAGAAATGTTTGTAATGATGATTCGTCTCTTGTTGTTCCCCGGCCACCACCCTATGATGGCGCCCAGAATACCGTGAATGAACCTCGCCCTGCCTCCCCAGACATTGCCCAGTCTCCACCTCCAATTGTCAAAGGCCCTCCTGTTCCCATCCCTCTGTACCCCGTTCTCGGGGCGGGGGATCCTATTATTACCTCGTCCCCACCCCCACCGATACCGCCCCTCTTCCACCTTCTCATTTTGCTACTGATGATGTCCCTCTGCTGCCTCTCTCCACCACTTCTTCCGACGCCATCCCTCTCTCATCTTCCTCTACCATTCCTCCTATTCCTGTTCCCCTCCCTCCTTTATGTACTGCCTCCCCTGATACCCCTCTAGTTCCTCTCCGTCGTTCCTTCTGCTCCCGTTCCCCTCTCGCCTTCCCCCGTGGTTCCCCCTGTTGCATCTATATCCCCCCCTCTTCCCTCGTCATTCCCTACTCCTGTTCCTACCTCTCCTCTCCCTTCCACCCCTTCTGTCCCCGTTCCAGATGCCTCTCCTCTTCCCACCTCTAATCCTCTCACCCCTCCTCCCTTCGTCACTCATTTCCGCCCTCTCTGCCTCTCTTGCCGTTCCCTCTACTCCTGCCTCTCCTCCCCCTTCCACCCCTTCTGTCCCTGTTCCAGATTACCCTGCTCTTACCACCTCTAATCCTGTTACCCCTCCCTCCTTTGACCTTCCGTCACTCATTTCCGCCCTCTCTGCTTCCCTTGCTATTTCCTCTACTCCTACCTCTCCTCTCCCCACCATCCCTTCTGTCCCGGATTCCTCTCCTCTTCCCTCCTCTACTCCTGTTACTCCCTCCCACGATCTTTCGTTGCTCATCTCCCTCAACCTCCTCAGCCCGCACCCTCACCGAGTCCGTCTCCGCCTCTCCCATGACAACTCCCAGTTACCCAATCATGATCGTTGGGTCAAATGAATCTACTGTGTCAGGACAACCTCATGCTGTAGGCGCTTCTCCTGCCGCATCAGGTTTCCATCCCACTACCGGTTCTCCCGGCTCCGATGCTCCAGCCGCCCAAGCCCCCAATTCACCTGATGTTGCCAGCTATCATGGTCTCCCATTCCCGGTTCCCCCCCGAGGGTGACAATGGGCAAGGGCTTAGTCCATTCCGTCCTTTGAATAATAGGGTTTACCAGACACAGGCCACTCCAGCCAACCACGTCTCTGCTTTATCACTAGTGGAAGGGGCTCCCCTGATGTATGTTACATTCAACCCATCTCAAGCTGCAATTCTAGTAACCTCTCTCCCTGACCCTGAGAAGCAGCCCATGCCCTTCTTCCGAAGGGTTGCCCAGATTCGTAAGACATACTCAGCAGCCTGGCGTGATCTGTATAGTCTGTGTGAGATCAAGGGTGGGGATGCCTATTGGCCCATTATGGAAAGGAGTTTTAATGACGCCCTACTCACTACCGATATGGATTACCAATCAGGTATTACATTCTGTGAACAACTTCGAGCCTGGGCCCAAGATAAACTAGCTGACCAAGCCACCTGTATAAATGACATTATACAAGACAAACTTGAATCTGTGGAAAAGTACCATTCAAGGTTGACTCAAACTTTCTCCGATCTCGGATTCAGTGTATATAACAAAGCACATACCCAGATGTTATCCGCTGCCTTTGTGGCTGGCCTTAAGGAACCCATCAGGAAAGGTTTAGTGCTTTCTCGTCCAGAATACAGAATTATTCCTTTGGACACTCTCTTACTAGTTGCAAAGGGCCTAGAATCTGCTCTACAGCCACCCCAAAGGAGAAGTAACCCTCTCATGCTTTCCGTTTATAACCCCGCCACCAGACCCGCCCAGGTGCCCCCAGGTTATCCCACACTATCCACCCTGCCAGCCGCACAGGGACAGCACATGGCACCTAGACCTCAGACCAGGGCATGTTTCAATTGTAACCAACCAGGCCATTTCCAGAGAGATTGCCCACACCCCGGGTGCCTAGACAGCCGACCACTAGACCCCTCATGTACTCCAATACTCCTGCGGCCACGTATGGTGGTCTCCAACCAAGTTACCCTCCACAGGTATATCCTCAGACACATGCATTGTATTAACCTCCTCAGAAATTCACCCAAGCGGTCTACCAACCCTCTCAATCTTATATCCACCCCCCAACTATGCTCACTCTTCCCCTGATGGTTACAATACAGATGATTTCCAACAAGATGATCACCCAGCACAGAGTCATTATCGCCCTACACGTCAAAACCATCAGGCAAGCCACTCCACTACACCAGCACGTCATTACACTGGCCCTGATCAATTTCATTTAGACCTTGTACAATAGGTAACCGGCAAAACTGTGTCTGACACCCCTGTCATGGCAGTGTCTACAGGGGACCCCTAGCTACAGTTGTATTACCAGTTGAGGGTCATCCTACTACCTTCTTAGCTGACACAGGTGCAGCCTGCAGTGTTCTCAGAGGACAAGACCTGCCTGATCCTTCTTACCTATCTGACACATGTTTGTGTACGCATTGATGGTACCCCCAGAAACAACCCATTAACCAAGCTCTTGCGGGTTGGTTCTGACATTCTCTCTCGGTTTGTTGTCTCATCCACCTGTCCCATTAACCTCTTAGAAGCTGCTGCTCTGTCTCGTCTTCAAGCTTCTATCGCCTTTACTGCTGATGGCCAGGTTCAATTACTAACCCCCCTTTCTCGCAAAGATACTTCTGTCCTTTGCTCCTACATATGACATCCCCCAACGAGGAAGTGAGGGTCCCAGACGCCCCCAGTGCCCTGGATAGGCTTCCAACTAAGCTTTGGTCTATGGGCCCAGATGACATTGGACGCCTACGAGTCCCACCTGTGGTGGCTACATTGATCAAAGGAGCTAATCCACCACGAAGACCACAATAGCTATTGAAACCTGCACAAGCTCTCGCCATCTCCAAACAAGTTGACAGCCTGTTGGCAAAAGGTGCACTAGTCAAGTGTGTTTCTCAGTGTAACACCCTTCTGTTTCCAGTAAAGAAGAAAACTGAAAAAGGTCAACCAGATGAATACTGTATGGTCCAGGACCTCCGTGCTGTTAATGAGGTCACCAACCGCGATACTGCAGTTGTCCCTAATCCACATACACTGTTGTCACAGGTTCCTCCAACAGCTAAATTCTTCACGGTGGTTGATCTTGCAAATGCCTTCTTCAGCGTGCCCTTGGATCCCTCTTGCCAATATCGGTTTGCTTTCACAGACGACCGTCAACAGTATACATGGACTGTCATGCCTCAAGGTGCACAAAATTTCTCAACCCAATTCGCAAAAGCTATGTCAACTGTACTTGAATCCTGGCAGAAGTCCCATCCAGACGTGGTCCTGCTCCAGTATGTTGATGATTTACTTCTCTGTGCAGATGATTTTCCGACTGCTGAACAAAATTCCGTAGATCTCCATTGTTTCCTCGCTGATGAAGGTTGTAAAGCCTCCAAGACGAAACTCCAGTGGTGCCGGCCCTCTGTGGTCTTCTTGGGACATTGCCTTTCCCATGGCACCCGTCACCTAACGAGAAACAGAGTACTTGCCATTATAAATCTCTCCCTTCCATCTAACCATCAGGCCCTTCATGCCTTCTTGGGCCTCATCACATACTGCAGATCTTGGATCCCTGAGGCTTCTCAACTCATGCAACCTCTCTATGATGCTTTGAAGACTGAACCTTTCTCATTGTCCTCTACATCCCGCACCTGTTACCATGCTCTTCAAAGAGCAATCTCCTCCGCCCCTGCTTTGGGCCTACCCAACTACCAATTACCGTTCAAACTCCGTCTCAGAGAAGATGGGCCATGCTTCAGGGGTCCTTAATCAATCCCACAGTTCCCTCATGAATTACTTCTCCTGCATGCTAGACCCCGTAGCCAGGCGTGGTCCTTCCTGTCTGCGTGCTGTTTTTGCTGCAAGTGCCCTACTGGACAAAACTAGTGACTTTGTTCTCGGACATAAACTGACGGTTCTTGCTCCCCATGACATCGCTGCAATCCTGAATCAAGTCCAGCCAAAGCATCTTTCATGTCAAAGACACCTCGCCTTCAAACCTCCCTTCTCTTGCCTGATAACGTTTCTTTACAAAGATGTTACTCCTTGAATCCGGCCACTCTTCTGCCACTTCACGGGGGGAGGGGTGGGGGAGTGCCGCAATACTGGTACAGCCTGTGACATAAATCCTGATGTCCACATGGAACTTCAAGTTGAAAAACCTGCAGTTCCACACGATGAACAACCCGTGATCCAATTACATTGCACCCTGTGGTTTAGGGATACCCCAGTTCCTATGAAGAAGAATTATTCAGCCTGGTGGAAATACACATCACACTGACAGACCTGTTCTGTGACTCCAAAGGAAACATTGTTATCTTCGTCTACTTATCTATGGAGGTATCACATTTATATCATCATTGGGAGGCGGCTGTTCCTCATATCTCTTTCACAAAGTCTCAAGATCTCTCATGGAAAGAACTCGGCCCAATGGCCAAGACATGGAGTACTGCAACTCAGGAACAACTCACAGTGACAGGGGTCACTAAAGACCATAAATTGCAAAACAGTCGGTTACCCTCGATATCACACAGAGATATGTGAAGATATTCCCCCATGATTGCTTTGAACAGATGAAAATGGAAACAACCCATCTCCCAAAAGTGCACGAAGCTGCTCTACCTGACCCGGACTACACTCTGTTTGTGGATGGTTCTAGATTCGCAGATGCGCAAGGAAAATATCATACCGGATATGCAGTCACCACAGAGGACCAAATACTCCAAGCATCTGCACTCCCATTATCTAAGTCAGCACAAGAAGCCGAACTAATAGCCCTCACGGTGGCATGCAAGATGTCTGAAGGGAAATGTGTTAATATTTATACAGACTCAAGATATGGCCTGGGCGTGGCACACGACTTTGGCTTAATCTGGAAAACCAGGGGGTTCCTTACAGCAACAGGTACTCCTGTGAAACATGGCGCAGCTATCAACGAATTGATGGATGCCTTACTACTTCCTGAAGAGGTGGCCATACTGAAGGTGAAGGCCCACGGAAGACTAAATTCCGAAGAAGCACATGGCAACCATTTAGCCGACCAGGCCGCTAAGGATGCGGCGCCCCAGTGTCGGGAAGTGGACAGAAGAGTGTCCGTCAAGAAGACTCCTATTTATACTATGCAAACCCTACCCACTCATCTTAAGCTCCTAAGAGAACAACAGGCTGACGCCACTCCACAAGAAAAGCAAAGCCGGAAAAACAAAAGAGAAACCCTCGAGAATGACAAATACACAATCAATCTTAAATTCTGCCTACCCAAGAATATGTATCCAGCTGTCATTCAGTGGGCCCATGGACCAGCTCACTTATCGAAACACCTCATGAATTCCTTGATTGATAAATATTTTGAAGCACCCAGAATCACCACCTTGACACGAAATTACTGCAGATCCTGCACCATTTGCGCCAAATGTAATCCAGAAAAAATAATCAAGGCTGCACCAAACCATTTGGCCAAAACATAGTGCCCTTTCCAAAGGATCCAAATTGATCATATCCAAATGCCAAAGAGTGGCTGGTATGAATACGCACTGGTCATAGTGGATATGTTTTCAGGATGGCCAGAAGCTTTTCCGGTCGCTAATCTCACTGCAAAGACCACAGCAAAACGTCTACTTACCGAAATCATCTGCAGATACGGAGTTCCCGAAGTAATCAAAAGTGACCAGGGTACATCCTTCACCGCGTTGCTAACCAAGGAGATCTGGGCACCCTATCACCCACAGAGTAGTGGTAAGGTAGAAAGCATTAATAGCACTCTGAAAGCCAGAATGCTTAAAATGTCCCAAGAAACTAACCTACCCTGGCCGGAGAGTCTTCCCATAGCACTGTTTAGTGTAAGGTACACCCCAAGAGGGAAGTTTAACTTATCCCCCTACGAAATCTTATTTGGGACAGCACCCAGGTTAGGCTGTTACTTTCCTCAGCAACTTCAGTCAGATGCAATGGTAGATTATATAACTGCACTCTCTCATGCCTTGACCAAAACCCATGCACAGGTGTTTTCTTCTATTCCAGATCCAGAGTCAAACACAGGCACGCATAAGTTACTTCCTGGTGACTGGGTCATGGTCAAGAAGTTTCTAAGAAAACATACTCTTGAGCCAAAGTTCGATGGTCCATTCCAAGTCCTATTGACATCTACCTCTGTAAAGTTGGCCGGGAAGAATACCTGGATACACGCCTCGCACTGCAAGGAAGTTCCTGATCCAGAGGAAACAGATTCTACCAAATCATGAGCTTCATGTGCCTGTTTCTGCTGCTAGGCCTATTAAAGGCCCAACAAGTTGCTATTACCAAAGACAAATCATGTTTACACATTTTGGTATAATTCTTCAAACACACACGTAGCTACATTTACCTTTGAGTACTGTGATATTGTCTCTTGTACTTTCCCACAATCACAACACTCAGCAATATACAAAGACATACCAAATAAAAATGGCTCATATATTTGTGTGACCGTTGGGGACATCACTGTAGTACCTGGAGTTGACAAATATGGGAAACCTTTGTTATACAGAATGACCATGTGCAAGCCAACGGGGTCTACCCCAATGAAGCTGACCTTAAACATAGAACATCCCAGCCCAGGAGACGCTGAGGAATATGTAATGGGAATGTATTGGAAAGGAGGTGGCTCATACAACAAGTTGGGGACCTTCTATTTACAAGACATGCTTACATCACCTGACTGGGTAGGCTCCACACATATGACCATTAACCCTCTAAAACCACACATTAAAACTCTTAAGACATGGTAGCCATTGCCAATCCCACATTTGAAGACACTATGGCACTGGAATCTGAGGGAGACCACCAAGATACCAGTGACATCACACCGGGTAGGAAGAGCACTAAATGAACCACTTAACACCTAACCAATTATTGATGTATTATTCCATGTTATCTCTGACAATGCATATGATGTAATTTTGCTTTATAAGGGACATGCCGTCCCCCCAGAATAAACATTCCTTAAGTTTTTCATTAACCCGAAATCTGTATCTGGTGTGAATTACCTTAGGAGCGTGCACACATTATTTCTTTAATTTGGCCGGGGGCAGATACGCAAGATAATCAATTTGATTGATTTCCACATCAATTCGGTATCCATTTTGCACCAGATTCAGAATCCTTGGATTTGTAGTGGTCTCCCTCCATCTGTGAACAAAACCTTGCAACCTTCCGCCCACTCTGATGGCGTCAGAAACGTTTGTTTCTGTCAGACTTAGGGTCTTTTTGTGTGTCAAATCTTGGATTTTTTCTTTGTTGATGAAAAAAAAACTTGGGTTTTTCTTGAAAACCTCTACGGTTTTTGAACGGGAAATTTCTATACCTGGGTTTCCAGGCATATTTCTTGTCTTGAGGCAGGGCCTTCTTGGTTTCCGACATTTGTCGGATTAACTCTTCTAAAGGAGAACCAAACAACTTTTTCTTCTCCAAAGGCAGTTCACATAATGCAGATTTTGATGCAGTGTCTGCTGTCCAGGCTTTAAACCACAGTGCCCTTTGGGCCACAGATGTCAAACCCATGACACGAGCCGAAAGCTTTATCACCTCCATGACAATATCCATAAGGTACTCATTAGACAACCTTAAATTATGGAACAGGAGGGAAAGACCTTTGTCTTGGTTATCACCCAGACCATCTTCCAAAGTGTTAAGCCAAAGATTCTGAGCTCTCACCACTGAAGCCCCGGCTAATGCTGCTTTAGCCTGAAAACCTGCAGCCTGATAAGCCCTTCTGCTGGAAGTTTCAGCCCTCTTATCCATAGGGTCTTTCAGACCAGAAACGCCCCCAAATAGGTATGGTAGTTTTTTTTTTTTTTTAGACAATTGAGCCACATGTACATCAACCACCGGCAATTCTTCCCATTTATCTTCCTCCTCTATTTTAACAATACTTTAAAATGTCTGGAGACAAAAGCCCTTTTCGCAGGGTTCTTCCATTCTCTCAATATTAAATCCAGCATTTTTTTGTTGGACTGGAAGTGTCTTACCTTTGGATTTATCTACCGTTTCATCAGAAAGGATAACATTAACCTCTTTAATACATTTTCTCAACTCATCATGAAGAAAACCAACCTCAGAAATAGAAGAGTCGCTAGAGGATTCTGAATAAGAAAAAGAACATTCACCCGAGGATAGCTCTGAACTAGATGGAGTTCTCTTCCTTTTAGACTTCTGTTTAGTAGCTTTTACAGGAGAAGTGTGAGCAGGATCTTTAAAAAAGACTCAAAACTCTGGGCCAGATTATCCTGAAGCCAAGACAAAAATGATTTAATCTCTTGTTGCTTGGATTTTTCTTGCGTCAAGGAAGAGCAAACATTACAGACTTTCCTTTTAAAACTATCTGGTAAAGGAGTAGAGCATTCACTACAACAGATGTTTAGCTTTGGAACTGGCTTCTTTAGAAGCAGGTGTAGGCACTTTGTCTTTATCCATATTATCAGTAGAGAAAGGACTAGACATATCAGTAATACATAAGCAATAAATAATTTTTGTAGAAACAAACAAAAAAAAAATAGAGAGGGTTTTAAAGATGAGAGTCTAAAGAATCATACCTCTAAAACCTCTGACCCGTGTGGGGGGGCTGGTGACACGGGAGACCTTCACTGCCGAGCATCCATGCTGACAGGAAGATCTGCACAGCATAAATAGGCAAGTAATTTAGGTGACTATAGGGTTCCTTTAACCCCTTAAGGACACGACATGTGTGACATGTCATGATTCCCTTTTATTCCAGAAGTTTGGTCCTTAAGGGGTTAAAGGACCAATCTAGGCACCCAGACCACTTCAGCTTAATGAAGTGGTCTGGGTGCCAGGTCCCTCTAGGATTAACCCTTTTTTTTCTAAACATAGCAGTTTCAGAGATTTTTATAATAGGGTTAATCCAGCCTCTAAAGCCTCTAGTGGCTGTCTCATTGAAAGCCGCTAGAGGCGTTTGCGTGCTTCTCACTGTGAAAATCACAGTGAGAAGACGCAAGCGTCCATAGAAAAGCATTATGAATGCTTTCCTATGAGACTGGCTGAATGCGCGCGCAGCTCCTGCTGCGCATGTGCATTCAGCCAAAGAGGAGAGGAGACGGAGAGAAGGAGGAGAGCTCCCCGCCCGGCGCTGGAAAAAAGGTAAGATTTAACCCTTTCCTCTCTATCCAGCCCGGCGGGAGGGGGACCCTGAGGTTTGGGGCACCCTCAGGGCACTATAGTGCCAGGAAAACGAGTATGTTTTCCTGGCACTACAGTGGCCCTTTAAGCAGGGTTATTCACCAAAATGATTTTAACCTAAGATTCATCCATACAACTTCTTCCGAAGTATACTTGATATTTTTGACTCTTTGCAAGGCTCGTTTGTTATGTTCAGAGAAAAACTTACCAAAATCAATTTGTCAAAAAAGATTAAGACAAATTAGGGTGGGCGAAAAAAAATCCAAAACCCACACTAACCTATCCAATAAATTGGGTATTCTAATATGATAGACTGCAAGCCTTTTCCTGCAGCAGTAAAATATATGAAACAACACATCTATTTAATTTTTCTTGTTAAGTTTATTGGCATTATTTTCATCTTTACAGAAGAACCAAACCTACACAATATTATGTAGGCTGCTGGGAAAAAAAAAATAAAAAAAAAAAAAAATTAAAAAAAAAAAAAAAGGTAGAATTTCCATATGGAAGCAAGCTACAAATGCAACAACAGAGACAGAGGGTAGCTAAACTGCCAAGGGTTTCATACCAATAGTCTGATCCGCAGCACAGTGGTGAGGGAGGGGAAGAGAAGAGTCTCAGAGTACATTATCTGCCAGTGAAATAAGGAAGGAAATGTTTTTGTTTTTTTAACACCCCAAGCAGGGAAAATCTCTCTAGAATAACTGCCAAATTACCCCAGACTCAGAGTGCAGTAACGCTCCCTTGCAGACTGCCGACATGATATATTAGAAAAAAATTAAAAAATAAAAAGAAAAGAGGGGTGAGATAAACAAGATGACATAATACCTGCACTTAACCAAAAATATCATGTCCAATATGCACATCACTATTACAGATATAATTGCAGTTAAGAGATAAGATAAACAAGACAGACAGCTCAAATAGTGAAATGAACAGGTAGCAGCCAATTAAGAGACTTAATATTCAAGACTTCAAAATCTGCTCCTACGAGTGACGACAGAAGTTTCTACCTGTTTTCTCAACATTTGCAGGCTTAGCAATATTACCATGTCCATAGTTTACTGGCTAAATACCTGTGCTTCAATAATTAAGTAAATCAACAAAAGAATCGATTCTTACACTAATTTATACATAGTTTTTTTTTTGTGTGTTTTTTTTAATTGGTTGCATATATTAACATGTTCTATATGATTCTTTTCCTAAACAAGCGATACATAATAAATGGATTCTGTAAAAATTTCTGATTAGTTAAAAGTAACAAAAAGCGTTAAACGGATAAATACAAAACTCAAAAACCTAATGGGGACTGGGTGCTGAGCTTGCAAAGGAGTATGGGATATGAAACCTTACTGGTCACAGCCTTCAAATTAGGGCGTAGAATGATTAAAAGGTTTATTTATTTTTATATCATGTAATATGTTAATTATACATACACGCACAACTGTAAAAAGGAAAAGAACAAAACAAAATAGAAAAAAAAAAAAAATATATCTGTTTTCCGGTCTCTCTCCACAAGACAGAAACAAAAAATAATTAACTTATTTTTAAACAAACACAGTATGTTGTTAAAGTCAAACCACTTTGCACCCAAGAGGGGAGCAATGCTATACATATTGCAGACCACCTGACAACATAAGGGTTAAACCAACATAGATGTATAGTCCACGGGGACGTGGGATGTGTTCCGCTTATGATACAGGCGTTGGTTACCACTTGGACCGGTGTCTGGGAGCTGGAGAGGGTGCAGTCGATTAATATTTATCCTTTACACTCTGGGCAGGGAGGGAATGGGGTCTTGTGTTCGAAGGCCTAAGTGTGATATCGGTTAGTGAAGGACGCCATGTTTGCCCTTCCCTGTCTCAGCAGCTGCAGCTCTCTGCAGTGGCCTTTGAGCCGTTGTTATCCAGTTTAATAGGCTCAGGGAATTCGTTGTACAACTCCACCTCTGTTTCCTGCAAGAGAACAATAGAACAAATGAGACACTAAGAACAAAAATACTTTTCCTTTAATAAATTCTCTTTATTCTACATTACTAAATTACCTATTTTTTGAAGATTTCAAAACTTAACCAAATTATAAAAAGAAATAAAAAACTACTAGTTTTGTACTTTGCATAGTTTGACAATTGATGTTAAGAAATAAATGCTGTGTTTAGTACTGGGTCCTTGGAATCACATTTCTGTCACTTGAGAGTTGCAACTTTCTGACCTCCATTGAACAAACCGTTTCTCTACAGGCTTCTTTATTACAGATATAAAAGCATAAATTAGTCTTCCAGTTCTGAAGATTGATTGTGGATTAATGCACTGTAAAATGAAGTAGAAAAGTTGTATATGTGTGAAGCTACAAAATAAAAGGATGTCCAGCATCTTTGTTTCAAAATAGTTCTTGCCTTTCTCCTCCTGCTATGAAAGTTGCCTAAAATGGAAACCTGTCAATAAACCCTATATCATTTTGCCAAGCTTAAAGGACCACTCTAGGCACCCAGACCACTTCAGCTTAATGAAGTGGTCTGGGTGCCTGGTCCAGCTAGGGTTAACCCATTTTTAAATAAACATAGCAGTTTCAGAGAAACTGCTATGTTTATTAATGAGTTAAGCCTTCCCCCTATTCCCTCTAGTGGCTGTCTCATTGACAGCCGCTAGAGGCGCTTGCGTGCTTCTCACTGTGATTTTCACAGTGAGAGCACGCCAGCGTCCATAGGAAAGCATTGTAAATGCTTTCCTATGAGACCGGCTGAATGCGCGCGCAGCTCTTGCCGCGCGTGCGCATTCAGCCGACGGGGAGGAGAAGAGGAGGATCGGAGGAGGAGAGCTCTCCGCCCAGTGCTGGAAAAAGGTAAGTTTTAACCCCTTTCTCCCTTCCAGAGCCGGGCGGGAGGGGGACCCTGAGGGTGGGGGCACCCTCAGGGCACTATAGTGCCAGGAAAAAAGAGTATGTTTTCCTGGCACTATAGTGGTCCTTTAACATAATTTTGTAGTTCAAAGAGTTGAACAGCCTTTTCTTTGGTAGGGATACGGAGTGTGTGAACACAGCACATGTATGTGCTTCTTAAATCTAGCGCTCGCAAAACAGCCATGCACCCCGAGCATCGTTTTCCAGCTAAAGGTCTGTTGAACGGAGGACACATTGCAGCTCTTTATACAACAATGTCCATGACCTAATTTGTCTTTAGGAAAAAAATTTAAAAAAATGAAATAAGAAAAAAGCCACATCCCATTCCCACTGAAAGCAACTGAACAATAACATGGTTGAAGTAACAAAACAGTGCTACACCAGCAGGTGGCACTATAGTAACCAATTACCTGTTTGAGTGCGTTTCGTGCAATTGTTTGAAAAGCCTGTTCCACATTTATAGCCTCCTTAGCACTGGTTTCAAAATAGGGGATATTATTTTTGCTTTGGCACCACACCTGTGCTCGCTTTGTAGTGACCTAAAAGAGAATAACAATGGGAGTTTTAGCCAGTGGCGGATGGTAAAATTTCAAGTTGATTGGGTGCCAGGCAGGCCATCTATTTTCTTTGCAATCATGAATAGGAAAATATGTCACCACTATCTCCACAATATGTGGATAATCCCATATATAGGAAATAAGGTAGACATTCTTATATATAAAAAAATAAAAAAAATAAACACGCACCCATCCAAAATAGCCCTGCCCATATAACAGAAGGGAGGGGTCTAGCCCTTCATGCTTTGTTTTAATTTGAACTAATGGCGGCAGACAAGGCTGTAACATGAGGTGCCTGCCGCTGATCTCTCAGTCCGCTCTGTCCAGATCCCTCTCGTGGTATCTGACTTTAGAGCTTAATATGGCAGGCACCCTCTTTACACATCGGGTACCTGTCTCAATAAGACCTGGTAGGCAGAGCGAATGGAGTCAGCTGGGGAGAACTTAGAGCAGTTCACCGGCAGGCACCTCATTTTACAGCAGTGTCTGTCGATATTGGTGCAAATTAAAACGGAGCATGGCCGGCTTGTTCCTGCTTTTCTGGAAACACAGCTAGTAGCCACTGTAAGCCTCTTGCACAGGATAGTGGCACAAGGAAAGAGTGGGCTGTGTGAGGCAGGGCAGTTAGCGTTCAGAGGAAGCTGTAGGAGGAGCAGGATAGTGGGAACCAGAGTCACATCTCAATGGCCAGCAATTCTCTTCCTCAACTGCACCAGGGGAAGTAGAGTTTTGACATCTCCACCCCCTGGTGCTAACTGCCAATCAGAGTTCAGTAGGCAGGCTGGCCAGTTTCCCAATGGCCATTTTTGTCCCGTCTATTTGGCACCCTAATGAGTTCCATTGACAAACAGGGGGGCTGCAAAGCAATCAATGACGGTGAAGTAGACCATCAAAAATCGGATTACTCCTCCCCCCCCCCCACTCTACCTAGTACCAGCAGTGGGTAATAAGTTAACTGCAGTAGTAAAATTTAAAGGGACAGAGCACATTTTGTATCACATATTGATGGTGTTTATTTACAGATCAAAAAATAAAAAATGAAAAAGTTAATTTCTTTTATTGCAAAAAAACTGGTGGGGCGCTGCCCAAGATGCCCCTATGGATGAGCCTCCACTGGTTTTAGCATTTGAAATTATACAAATATTTCTGGAACAGATATTTTACAGATCTTCTAATCATTCCCATGATGTGTCTGATGAAATTAGAAGGTTACTTAGAAATTAAAAGGTTACTACAAGCACCATGACAATTTCAGTGATCTGAAGTGGTCATGGTGGCAGAGTCCGTATGTAGAGTGTTTTTCCATGAAACTCACTCATATGGAGTGTAATGCTTTTCCTGCCGCATGTGTAACTTCATCTGTGGCATCGTCATTGGCGTATACGATGTACGTAAGACAAAGTAGGAATTCCTATTTTTATACATGCCTTCTTAAACGGCAAAAATTTTCAAATCCTCCATATTGAGCATCATTTGGCTGCATGGCCATAAGTAGTTAAGATTTTGTTTTTGTTTTTTTTTAAAAAAGTTAATCTTGGGCAAGGTAAAAAACAAAAAAAACGATGATGTGTGATCTTGCATAGACCACCATTTGCACACGATGGCAAACCAGAAAAGTAGAATATATGTGTTATAGAGAAAGAAAATGAGGTGTAGATCTCATCCTCCCTCTATCTAATCAAATCAAGGATTTTAACAGATCCTTTACAGTAAAACGCAAGTCATTTCTTCTGTAAGCACACCATGAAAATCTGACTAAATCAGACCCCAGAGAAACAGACAGAAAATGTGGTCTTATATGGATAGGATTTAGCTTTTCGTTTCACCTTTGTTCAATATAAAACACAAAGCAATATTCAGAATCATATGCTTGCATGCTTAGAATATGTAGAATGATTACCAAATGGTAAAAAGCACTAAAATAATTACTTGTCTGTTCTCAAGGTCAATCTTATTTCCCAGTACAACAAAGGGGAAGTTTTCAGGGTCTCGTGGGCTTGCTTGGATGAGGAATTCATCCCTCCAACTGTCCAGCGTTTTGAAGGTGTTTGGAGCAGTCACATCAAAAACCAGCACACAGCAGTCAGCCCCTCTGTAGAAAGCCACACCGAGGGACTGAAACCGCTCCTGTCCAGCCGTGTCCCATATCTAAAGTATGCAAGGAGGAGAAATTGTTTTTTACAAAAAGCAAACAACCCAATCAGAACACCATCAGAGCATTGCAGCAAAAAACAGACACCATCAAAACTATACAGTAATAGAATGTTTAAGACAATGGAGATCACTGCCTTACCATGATATGAAGGTTCATTTGCAATAGTTCAAGTATTAACCATGGGTGGAAAAAATACTCAATTTCTCTATATTATTTATTTTATTAAAAACAAGACAAGTTTGACCATTATGAGAAGCATCCCTTTGTAAACATCACAACAATGTGGTCCAATAGCCTTTTAATGCAATGTGTAAAGTCCGAGGCAGAGGCTTACAAGCTGGATGACACATGGCCGTGATTTTTGCAAATCACCATTGCTACAAGCTACTTAAAAGAGAACATGAACACCGGGTATTCTTTTCACCATGACCGTTGCAATGATTCAGTGTTTTGGTGCTCAGAGTTACACTTACATGCTTTGCTGGGCAATACATAGGTTAAGGCAATAAAAAGAGTGCATAAATAGCTGAATGCTTGCAATGCTGTATGTGGCACAGCAGGAAAATATGTCGATTGTGCATTCATGCATGGAGTTGCTACAACATGGAAGTGCAGTGAAAGCAAGGTTTTTTTTTTTTTTTTTAAATTGTCGCTACTGCTTTATTAATCCGAATAAACTCTGTAATATTAGTTACTGTGGTGACGCAATGGGGAACTGTCACTTCCCTGGAAGGGACAGTTTCTCCTTAAGGATTATTTCAGGACACTGGTCATGCTTACAAACACTGACACACTGGGTTCAATTCCTGGATATGGACAGAAAAACGGTCAATGGGCTAGTAGCATTTAAGACAAAACCAATACCTGTGGCATATACCTCTAAAAAGCCCATTACTTTTCTTATATGTGCCAACATCACCTATATGATTTTGTTTATCCTAAGCTCTAATGAAAAAAACATTACTGCTCCCAGAATACTGTAAAAACTTCTCTATTCAAACATGCTTAAACAAATTGTAAAGCCTTCAATCTGGATCCATAATGATCCTTACAGGTTGGGGCCTCAATAACGTACCTGCATTGTGACCAGCCGATCATCCACCATAACCTCCTTGGTGAGGAAGTCTGCCCCTATGGTTGCCTTGTACTGGTTGGTAAATTTCTTATTCACATACTGGTTCATGAGAGAGGTTTTGCCGACCCTTGAGGAAGAAAAAATATATTAGAAGGGGAAATTAAACTGGATGGCATGGTTTGCCTTTTCTTCAAAATGAAGTTTACTCAATTTATGGCACTAGGAGTGCCCAGGTGCCATCCCATAGTTAGATATCAAGCCTATCTGGGTCCTGCCAAGCAAGAAACGGGGTCACTTTACAGCACAACAGGAGCAATGTAGGACTGCAAGGATCCTGTTCTAAAGTGACATCTGGAATTTCCTGGAGAAGACCAAATATAGTGGGGGCACCGAACGTGCCGCAGGAAAGTGGTCATTTTCATTTAAAAAAAGTTTGACATCTTCGCACGAAACAACATGGCAAAATAATCGCTATAGTGGACTGTAGTTATTTTATTTGAAGTTTTCCATTAGTCCCAAGTTCAATGCTATACACAATAAAAATTAGTGCAAAATATTTTTTAATGGGATGAGCAGCTGTGACGGATGCACACTGCCCCTTTATGCTCAGGCTTGAGAGAAAGATTAAGGGATTCTCACAACACATGAAAGATTTTAAATGACTTTACAGCTTTACTGTGAGCCAGGATACAATGTGAGAGAGCAAGGGCAGCGATAAAGTAGTATTTGATGTCTGAGAAAACCGAGCAGAGAAATGATCCCCCTACACTCCAAGAACTAAATGCTGCACCTCTCAAACTTATCTCCCTCATCAGTGCCGACAACTGAGTAAATGAAAAAAAATATATATATATTTGATAAAATTGCAAGGGAGTGCATTTTGCGCAGGTAACTCCCTACCTGCACACAAGTAGGTATGTGCTGTGAACAAGCCTATTCGTTTACTTGGGTGCACATTGTACAAGTGGAACAGAGAGAAGAAGCATTAGTTCATAGATCTCTCAGGGATGGGATTGGCTTAAACTACAGATATTTTTGCAAAAACACAGCTATTAAAGGGACACTATAGTCACCCAGACCACTTCAGCTCAATGAAGTGGTCTGGGTGCAATGTCCCTCAGGTTTTATCCCTTCACAGGTTTTAACCCTTACATTATGGGTTAAGCTAACCTCTAGTGGCAGTCTTCCTGACAGCCGCTAGAGGCGCATCTGCGATGCTGGATGCGAATTTTCACACCCATCGTGCCGATGTTGAGAAATGCTTTCCTATGGACGGAATGCGCGCCCGGCATTTGCAGTGCATGCGCATTCCACTCCAGTCAGGAGCTGACGGCGGGGGAGGAGAAGTCACCAGCGCTGAGGGAGCCTGGCGCTGGATTAAGGTAAGCTGCCGAAGGGGTTTTAACCTTCAACGCGATGGGAGGGGGACCCTGAGGGTGGGGGCACCCATAGGGCACTATAGTGTCAGGAAAACCGCTTTGTTTTCCTAACACTATAGTGATCCTTTAACATGCGCATGCAAGAAGGGATAGCAGGATTTTTTCCCCCTTGAACATTAGGTTTCTGTAGGAAGGGGGAAAAGCCAATCACAGCTAAATTTACGTACAACTCAACAGTCAGTAACTTGTCTAATCAAATGCTTTAAAATATACTGTGTAATGACTTATCCTAGACCTCTGTTTAAAAGCTATACAAAATCATATTTACAGATAAGGAGAGCACCAGACAGAATTTCTCTGATCTACAAGTACATTTTTGGCAAAATGTGGCTATGCGTACAGGTTCTGCCACTACATCCTACCATTTGCCATCAGCTATAGATGTCAACTGCACATTTTAACTGGGCACAGAAAAGTTATTTTTATTTAGTTTTTTCCCCAATTAAAGTGAACATGTAATTTACATTTCATAAGAATGACAATTTCAAATTCAGGTATACATGCATTTAATATATAATTATGGTGGAGAGTAGATAAAACCAAACAAGACGTGACAGTCCTTTTTAAGTGTACAATTTAATAAACTACTATTTGTTGCTGGTTCCAAAAATATTTACAGTAGAAACTTCAGTGCTCATCTAATGATCATGCTATCAGAAAATGAAAGTGTTATGCCACTTACCCAGAATCACCCAGAATGATAACCTTGAGCAGCACTTTCTTCCTGGATGTCATCTTTCAAAACTGAAAGAAAAAAATATATAGCTTGGTACAAAACAAACTATATTTAACCCCTTAAGGACTGAGCCAACTGTACAACTTGTGATCAAAACAAAATGTAAACAAAACCTTGAATTTGCGCTATATGTCTGTTCAAAAAAAATCAATCAGCAAGCCCCCAACGTTTCGGCAAAAGAGATGCCTTTCAAGGGAGCCTGTTGTAAAAGAATGACACTCACTTTTATATACCCAGATAAGAAGCATAAGAAAGACCTGAATGTGATGGGTGACCACCCATGTTGATTGGGATCCTCCCAACCATAATCACTTGATTATGGCTGCCAAGGAAACCAAAAAAAAAAAAAAATCAATCAAAAACATATAAATAAATATATATATATTTGATGATCAGTAGCAAAAGACACAAAATGAATATATTAATGAAAACAAAAAAAAAAACTGCAAGAAAAATTGAACATGACATGATCTGTTATAAGAGGTAAGGACTCAAATAAAATAAAATAAAGCACATAATAACAGTGTCTGACCAATCAAAGGCATATTAAAGCTCCCCATTTTCCCAGACTCATGCCGAGACATCGACAGTTGTACTTGGATCATTGAATCTGATCCATATTCAGAATCCCGGTAACGGAAAAGTATAGCATGTACCCACCTATTCCGATCGTTCAAACGACCACTCGCTAAAGGTGAAAAAATGAGGTACGGAACACACCATGCGTTCCAATACATGGAATTGGAGTAATGGCGTGGTATGTGTAGCGTGCATGCGCGAGATGTCTCTTGGAACGCATCATGCGTTCCAACTATACCCGAGCCCATAGGAAAAACAATGAGGTGTACCCTACCGGTCGGAGGCTATAATAGCATGGACAAAAAATACATTAAATAGGTGTCAAACAACCCTTTAAATGACAGAATAAAAAGAAAAAAAAAAAATAGAAAAACAAAACGGAGAGGAATATAAATCTAGTATTATATATGAAATAAGCCCATATATAAGGGCAATCTAGTCAGTATTTATAATAGACATAATTATTATATTGAAGATCAGAAGATTCACATTAGAACAGGGCTCCACAAACCCCAGATCGCTACAGCAACTAGAAATTTTGCCCTGGAGGCTGGGATTTGCCAGCTCTCTAGCTTTGACGGCAGCCGCCCCGAGGAGCGTGGAGGTGGGCAGCCGCCCCGAGGAGAGTGGAGGTGGGCAGCCGCCCCGAGGAGCGTGGAGGTGGGCAGCCGCCCCGAGGAGCGTGGAGGTGGGCAGCCGCCCCGAGGAGCGTGGAGGTGGGCAGCCGCCCCGAGGAGCGTGGAGGTGGGCAGCCAGCGCGCCAGCCAGAGTGCGCGAGCGAATGTGTGTTTGTGAGCCTGTTGTCAGCGTGTTTGTGAGAACCTGTCAGTGTGTGCGCGTTTAGGTACCTGCCCCCTCCGATCGCACGTGTTTTTACTCTCCTTTCTTCCCATTTCCCACGCCATGCCAGTTTCGCCATGGCTGAGATGATCAATCTTTATGATCTCAGCTAAGGCAATGCTTTCCCTTCGGAAAGCATTGGGAGGATTTTGTGCATGCGCAGCAAATGTACCAATCTGCATCTCCTCATAGAGATGCATTACATTAATCAATCTCTATGATTAACATTCAGCGCCTCCATGCAGAGCTTGGAGACACTGAACCAGGGTGCTGCACGTGGTGCAGCAGTGACCTAGGACTCTCTAGTGGCCATCTGAGTGACTGTCACTAGAGGTGTTACTAAGCAGCAATGTAAACTCTGCCTTTTCGCACATGTGCTGCAGGGACTCACGGTCCCCCTCCCTGCTCTTCCGCATCCAGTGTGAAGTGCAGTGAAACAGATCTCACTGTGTAAAAAAAATAAAATAAAGTTAGTTTAAAATCCCACCCCCCTTTACCCATTTTAAATAAAAAAAATTAACCCCATCCCTGCCAATTGATCAAGGACTATAGTGATCAATTGGCAGGGACTACATTTTACTGTCAATTTTTTTTTTTTTTACATTAATTAATTTAAATATTTTAAAATTATATATTTAGCTAGCTGGGGTGGGTGGAAGTTAGTCGAGAATTGGTGAATTTGGTGTTAGGCTAGCTAGAGGTTAACACACACCTTTAAAAAATGTTTTAAGAACATTTAAAAAAAAAGTAAAAATCACAAACACTGCCTACAGTGATCAAAATACAGATCACAGTTATACTGTGATCTAATTTATTTATTTTTTAACCCCTGAGGATTAACTTTTAAATATTTTTTAACCCGCAGGGGTACAATTTATTTCATTAATTCATTTAATTTAATTCATTTAAATATTTAAAAAATATATTTTGCTAGCTGGGGTGGGTGGGAGTTATGGGAAAGTGGGGAATTTACGGTTAGTGCTGCTTACTGCTAGTTAGGAGTTAACGGTAAAAAACATTTTTTATCTTTTTCTTTTTTAAATGTCAAAAAAGTTAAAGGGACACTCCAGGTACCTAGACCACTTCTGCCCATTGGAGTGGTCTGGGTGCCAACTCCCACTACCCTTAACCCTTCAACTGTAAATATTGCAGTTTTCAATATTTACCTTGCAGGGTTAACTCTTCCTCTAGTGGCTGTCTAATAGACAGCCAATAGAGGGCACTTCCGGGTTTATAGCACACATTCCGTGTGCTATAGCGTCGCTGGACGTCCTCACGCTATGTGAGGACCTCCAGTGTCGCTGAAATCCCAATAGGAAAGCATTGAAAGCACTTTTCAATGCTTCTCCTATGGGGAGGTCTAATGCGAGTGCGCAGCCTTGCCGCGCATTAGGTCTCCCCTGACGCGCATGCACTCCCCTTCAGCAACCTGGGATGTGGGGTGGGAGGGAGAGGGACCTGCAGTGCCAGGAAAATGGTTTGCTTTCCTGGCACTTGAGAATCCCTTTAAGTTTAAAAAAAAAAATGTAAGAAGAAAAAAAAAGTTTAAAAATGAGTTTTAAAAAAGGAAAAAAATACATTAAAAAATGATCCCATGCCAAGGTTCAAAATATGCCTTTTAAATTACCCACAGGTATTCTTTAATAAATAGTATGTGTTTGTGGGGAAGTTTGAATAAACAGCCAGCTAAACTACTCCAAAATGGAACATGGACATTGCGTAAAACTTCAAAGTTAGGAAAAAAAAAAACTGAATGGCTGCGTCTCAAATGTGCCCCTTCAACATCCACATATACCTGGCAAAAGTACATACGGGGGTATTGCTGTACTAAGACGACATAGCTGAGCAACATATGAAGTATTATACAGTTGTATCACACAAGGTTTGCAAAATATACTGTGCAAACTCTCTTTGAATGTCAAAAAGGCAGAAAAAATGCTTATTACCACTAAACTTGGTACAAGCTAGTGAAAAAATATGCCACACTAAGGTTCACAATATGCTTTTTGAAATACCCTGGGATGTCTTCTTTAAGAAATGGTATGCCTTTATGGGCTAGTTTCTAAAGTGCTCCAAAGTGGGACACGGACGCATCAAAACTCTCCATGAAAATTCACACTTAAAAACCTCAACTTGTCACGTTTCTTTTACAGAAAGGTAACTTCACAAAATAGTGTCTAGGTCATACACTGGGCATATTGTTTTACTCAGAAGATGTAACTGAGCATAATTTGTGGGTTTTATGACAGTGGTACATATAAAGTGTAAGAAATACTCAGCAAAAATGCAACAAATATGTAAAAATGCCATTTTTTGTTTCCCCTCACAACAAACATGGACATAAATTAGTGAAAAAATGGTGACAAGTTAAGGCACAATATACACCATTTCAGATACCCTGGGATGTCTGGTATCAAATGAAAGCCCTTTGTGGGGTTATTTAAACAGTCACACTGCTGTAATACCATAAAATGAGGCATAGGCCAGTCAAATCCATCCACAAAAATTCTAACTATAGAAACGGATATAGCCTTGTCTATTATATAGCATTGTAGCTTCACAGAATAGTGCCAAAGGCGTACAATGGGGGTATCGTTATACTCAGCAAATGTAGCTGAACACAATTTGGGTTTCTGTGTAGGGATCGACCAATAGATTTTTTTAGAGCCGATACCGATAATCTGTGAACTTTCCGGACTATAGCTTACCGATATTCTGTACATTTACCATTTTGAAAAAAGAAACTATTTCTAAAGGTAAATGCACAAAATATACACATGCCATGTGTAGTAGATGCAGTGTGTTTGGACAGGGGAGCTGTGTGTGTTTGTGCAGCGTGCATTTTATACACGCGCACACACACACACTGCGTTATTGTAGTGTGTTTATATAATGCAGTGTGTGTTTGTGTAATGTGTGTATAGTGAATGCAGTGTTTATATAATGCAGTGTGCATTATATACACACACACACACTACACAAACACTGCATTCACTATACAGACCCTACACAAACACACTACATTATATAAACACTACACAAACACACTACATTATATGTATATAATGCAGTGTGTGTTTCTGTAGTTCTGTAATTTGGGGGTGGGGGGGCATTTTTTAATTTTATTTTTAAATATTTAATTATTTTTTTTAGTCCCCCCTCCCTGCTTGTTACCTGGCCAGGGAGGGGGGCTATAGCGCGTGCAACTATTCAGTGTGTGCGTCAGTGTCCTCTGTGTGCAACTATTCAGTGCGTGTGTCCGTCTGCTAGATTTTTATTATGATTTAATTGTGACTTTTATACTTCACATTAATAGTTCATACATCCCCCTTTAAAAATAGTCACATTATGCCATTTATTTATATAAAAAAAAAATAAAAAAAAATAAAAAAAAAAACAAGGCTTGTTCTCCAATATAGGATTAATTTAAATACCAGTGTCTACATTTTTCATTAGGACTTTAAAATCAATAGAAATTACTTTCTCAAGGCAGCAGTGCGTAGGAATATTTTTTTAGACCTGCAGGGATACTGCTCTGTAAAAGGTTGACAAACACTGGTCTACACAAAACATTCTATAGACTTGTATTTCTTATAGTTCTAACAAATGCTGCAGTGCTTAATATAATGAGTGAATGGCACAGCAAAGACAGAAACTAGAGTGATACAGTGGTGTTTGAAAGCTACTATATCTTGCAATTTAATCCACAGGAAAGCAAAGATTCAGTACGCAAATGTAGTTCAAGATGGAAGATGAGTTGTTCCCTGTATTGCACATTATCAGCATCGAATGACTGTGCCTCAAACAGTAATTTTAATAATCTAAAACAACACAAGTAGAATACACATCCTTTATAAAAACCTTAAGATAGATCACTGATTTACTACAATAGGTGAAGCTAATCTCAAATCAAAATTAACCTTACATGTACTCATGGCAGTCAAAGTTTGATTTGTAGGTTGAGGGTGGCTCTATGGAGAGAAGTTATAGGACCCAAAAAATTGGGGACTCCGTAGCAATGCAGCACAGCTGAGTGCTATTTTAAATAATTAATACCTACTTGGCGATATGCAGAATCTGCTGTCTTATAGGATATTCTGCCTATCACCAAGTAGGTATAGAAGATGGCTAGGGTATTGGGGAGATGTAAGATTATCTGCTTCCCTGCAATGGTCAGTACGCGATTCATCATCATCATCTCAATCAGGAGCGTTCCTTTCACACACATACAAGTATTCTTTCTACAACACCTGATGTATCTTACCCCAGTTTCGCTTCATTCATTGCAACGACATCCAGGGCAAACAAAACCAACATGCCCAAACTGCTAATTTAAGTTTTTGTAGTATGAAAACACAATGGATGGCTTAATAAGGAAAAACGGTGGCTGATTACTCAATATAGCATTAAAACCAGTCAGCCCCACTTAACTGTTGCTGGGAAACCACTAAAGAATCACGCAGAAGTATTAAAGTGGAAGTAACTTGAGGCAGGGAAAAAACCCACAAAATGGCCGGATGTTCAGGTTTGCAATGAGTCAGCAAACCAGGCAGTAATTGATTATTATTTCAATAGCACTAGTTTAAAGCAACAGAGGGGGATTTCTGGGAGTTAGAGTTCAATTGCCAGCTATCCACTGTAGAATCTCAAAAGCTGAACTATATACAACTCCCATAATCGCAAGTCATGACATGATGCATTACAGGATATTTGGATCAATAACAGAACAGCTTCAGAGAGGAAGAAGGTGGCAGAAATAAGGTTAGAGCTCTCATTTTAAAGATAAGAAGCCTGTTATTGGACTGCGGTCAGGACAGGGTGTGGAAGACAGCACAGGGAGCTTCGCCTGATACTGGATGACAGGTAACTTTAAACAATTTTCCAGGTATTGGGGAGGATTGGCAGATGACACCTAAAAGTAATGCCCAGTGGGCAACTAAACGCTGTAGTTTGGGAACTAGCTACAGAAGAATCAACTAGAGAAACTGTAAACTTACAACCAATACTCAACTTGTATACACGAAGGGTATAAAACATAAGAATGTGTGTGGGTGGAGGAAAAGAAGGGATTCTCAGAGGATAAATTTATAATGAAATAAAAGAATAAAAAAAATAAGGTACAGTATATCTGGTGCAAGTAGGTGGAAGAGAAAAGGAAATCCACTTACAGTGTATAGAGCTAGAATTAACTCTTGCTCAATGTGCTTGGGTGGTACAATCCCTGACTGGAGATATCTTATTTGTTCTTTGACCCAATGGCAAGTGTTCCAACGAGTATGCAAAGCATACAGAAAACAAATGGCAATCGGGTGTAGTATATTTTGGTATGGAGGTAGAAAAAGTGTGAGAAAGCAGCAAAAAGTAATACAATTTTAAGAATAAAGGCAATGAAACCACTCTTTTTATACAATGGTATGTGTGACACTAGATGTCACTAACTTATATTAGCAATGATTAGTATGCAGTGGGGTTCTTTTACCTAAATATAATAAATTCAGTTAAGCCCAGTTACTTACAAAATGGATGATGAAAGAAACTGTCTCAAAATGTCAGCTGATTCAAGTCACGGACAACTCCCATCACTTGAAGACAGGCATCCAGCCCAGGGACCTTGCGGGTAAGGACTGCTGAGCTCATTAGGGCTTCAGGCTTAACCAAGCATTTAGAGATCTCAAAGCAACAACTAGTTTCATTGCAATCATGTCACAAACACTTTTGCTTTGCATCACTTCTTAGAAGAAAGAGGACAGATACATGTTGCGTAAGTACTCAAGAACACGATGACTGCACAGTTTAAACTTACGCAAGCCACCTAAAATCGAAATTGAAGGTCACGCTTAGAAGCCAAGTGTTTGATCCCAGGCACACAAGTTCTGTTTTTTTTTTGTTTTGTTTTTTTAAGATTTGTTGATGTTTGGAACAGATCTCTATTAGCAATACCCTGTTGTCATAAAGACTGCATTACAGAGAAGGGCAGAATAAAAAAATAAAAAAAGCATCAGACAAATATGAATGTCACATACACGACAGACTCAGAGGCTTGTGTATATAGAAAAATTACACAACTAAAAGCAATACAGTAATACTTCATCAGCATGACTAATAAGTATCGCAGAGGCTAATGGGCATTAACCCCATACCATAGCAAGTCTCATGTTTAAAGCCCTACTCTTACTGCACAGCCTGTGTATGTGTTCCTTTGAGTGCTGCAGATTGTGACATTGAAATGTATTCCTCCGTCAGTCCCAGGCAATTTAGAGAGTTTTATTACATTTGTATTTTATTTGGGTTTGTACATTAGTACACTCCTTGATCATTGTATGGTTATAAAAGTAAAAAGTGAGACAAATACATAATAGTAAGAGCTTGGCACAGCAAGCGATGGTAGATGCAAACTATGGAAAGTACTGCATACCTATAGTCGCGTTGGAGTAGGTCTCGTGGCTACTGCGCCAGTCGGCGCGTCTGGGGAGTCCCTCTGAGATGGCCCAGAGCTCCCGGTCTCTACCTCTTAAGATGCTATTATGTCGTCGTTTCGGCTAACTCATCCGGTCGTAGGTGTATATGGTGCATTATGCACCTAGATTTAGTAATTGTGGGATTTTCATTCCTGAATCTTTAAAATGTCTTTCCATATCTGTCATTAGGGCAAGAGCTTCTGGCAAGTCCAGGTGGCATGTATTACATACTAAATCTTCTTCCTCTTATCTCCAAGTTTATCAGATTCAGGAGTTCATCTCCCACCTGTAATCACTCACCCCGATATTATTCAAAGTCCATCTGTCTGGAATTTGACTATATGTGAATGATTACATAAAATTACTTACTTCTTGGTATGATTATCTCTCTAAATGTACCACCCTAGAACGTCAGAGCATCTTTTACTTTGTTTAAACCTCTCCATAAAATTATGTCCGCGACTGTTTTCATCAGCGGCCGTTGTATCATTTACTAGCCATATCTTGTTCCTCTTTATCTTGCCTTTACCTCAATATACTCCCATACTTTGACCCCTCATTTGCTCTACATTGTATTTTGTTTATGTTTAACTGTTGCCTTACTGTAACCTTCTGTCTCATAACAGCACTTCAAGCCAGAGCTGAACAGCATGATTTGTAAAAAGCTTACTGTGAGAATAAAACTACCCCTTGGATCAGTAACAAAGGAAGAACATTTTTTGCCGCCTAAGTTCTATCCAACTTATGTGTGTGGTTGTCGTAGTCATGGTGCTAGTTAGATGTGTTACTGGTTTGACCTAATTTATGGGATCCCTGAGACAACTGTGACCTAGTACTCCGTCCTCCCATATTAAGATGCAACGGTTATGGTTGATATCCATTTCTGATATTTTTACCAAATATGTTACATACTGGATAGTCATTTACGCAATTCTTTCATCTGCATATACATTAAAATACAAAAACCCTGAAGGCAACATGCCTGCTCTAAGAGGTCTATTCACTAAACTCAACGGCAGTCAAATACAGTTTGGTTGTCACAATTTTCATTCCTGAATGCTTCTACTGCACTGACAGAGTAAAACATGACATGGAAGACCCATAGGAAAGCGTTTATTTAAAGAATGGGGAAAGAAATGCATGATGCTTACTGAGCATTCACATTAGGTCCTCAATGCGTATGAGGTGCATTGGATTGGAAGTCGGCAGAGAAGGCCACGTCTCCTCTGTGACGTCGTGGGAATCCGAGATATACTGCACTGACAGAGTATATCTATCTTTATGGCAAGGGCTTCTGTGTATGTGTCCCTTCAGGTGCTGAAGATTGTGGCACTGATTTCTGTGGCAATTAAGAGTTTTAAACTTGCAAAATGTGAATCTTGCACCTAGATTTAGGAATTGTGGGATTTTCATTCCTAAATCTTTAAAGCAAGGTCTTTGTTAATCTATCATTAGGGCAAGAACTTCTAGCAAGTCAACGTGGTACGGATTACATACTGTATCTTCTTTCTCTTATTTCCATGTTTATCAGATTCAGGAGTTCATCTCTCACCTATGAGCACTCATCGGATATTATTCAAAGTCCATCTATTTGGAATTTGAGTATATGTAAATACTGGATTACATAAAAGTATTTAAAGGACCACTCTAGGCACCCAGACCACTTCAGCTTAATGAAGTGGTCTGCATGCCAGGTCCAGCAAGGGTTAACCCATTTTTTTTTTTTTTTATAAACATAGCAGTTTCAGAGAAACTGCTATGTTTATGAATGGGTTAAGCCTTCCCCTATTTCCTCTAGTGGCTGTCTCATTGACAGCCACTAGAGGCGCTTGCGTGCTTCTCACTGTGATTTTCACAGTGAGAACACGCCAGCGTCCATAGGAAAGCATTATGAATGCTTTCCTATGTGACCGGCTGAATGCGCACGCAGCTCTTGCTGCGCGTGCGCATTCAGCCGACGGGGAGGAGAGGAGGAGGATCGGAGGAGGAGAGCTCCCCGCCCAGCGCTGGAAAAAGGTAAGTTTTTACCCCTTTCCAGAGCCGGGCGGGAGGGAGACCCTGAGGGTGGGAGCACCCTCAGGGCACTATAGTGCCAGGAAAACGAGTATGTTTTCCTGACACTATAGTGGTCCTTTAACATTTTAAACTATTTGGCTATTCACAAAAGGCTGCAGTTCAGCTGTTCGTTGAAATCAAACAGCTAACTTGCAACTATACTAGGATAATTCATAACAATTCCATTGCAATTCTGTTAATCTATTGTATCCAGACAAATTGAATCAAATTTGCAAAAGCAAATAACGTGTTTAGTGAACATACCCTTGACAGTGGCAGTCAGGGAAGATGTTAAAGGAAGATTTACTTAAATAAAAAGTTCTTCAACTTTGACGCCATTATCTTTCAGTTGAGTTCCATCTTCAGCTAACCCATGAAATCAGAATTAAAATGTCTATGGAAGATGACAAGAATCCATATAAAAACCCACGTGATGTAGACAAAGAATCATTTTTTCCCCAGAGCCAGGTACTGGGAATTGGCAAAAGTTGCCAACGCAAACTCAGCCTTACGTCAACCTTGAATGTGTCAATAAGACAACATATGCCCTACTGTGCCATTATATCTATTGACTGTTTTTTTTTATCATTAAGACATATTCAAAAGTGACAGAGCTGCTTTCACAACAAAGTACAATAAGGTAAAAAAAAAAATTATTGAAATTTTTTTTTTTTTTTTATGGTCACTGGGTAAACCACTTTGTCAAGTTTACTGCTGTGGGGAACATTCTTCACAGAGATGCAGGTCTGCATATCCCCAATAGTATGTGGCCCGGGGAGTGTGCAGTCACCTCACTATTGATATACTAATGGGAAACTCACTTCTAGAAATTATACCATTGATAAAGATTTTAAAAAAAATAAAAAATAAAGGACTAGATAATGTAAGACCTAGCTGTTGACATTACAGTTTAGTCCTGGCACAACCAGAGCACACATTGTATTGGAAGAGGAAAGACAGAAAACGTGTTCATAAAAATGACTCACAGGGAGTCAAGATGGAGGCACTCCGTTTCAGGATAAGTGGCATGCATTTCTAATTGTTTTTCAGACCTTACAAATACATTTGTTAAACACAGGTTAAATGTAAATGTAATACTAAAAACCATGGGAAGTGACGTTTGTTCTTTAATGATTGAGCTGTGCTTTTACGACCTTGATTAAAATGGACTCCTCTTTAAATGTTTTAGGAACCCTTGTCGACAAACAGCTTGAAAATGGTTAGATCATAACCAGGGAACCGCTTCCGCAGCCAGCTAGCCCCATAACCACTGTATTGCAATGGGCTGTATCGGTTACTGTGCTTAGACTGTCCATTTACACAAAGTTCCAGCCGTGACAGCCCAATTTACAGGTAATTATTAAAACTGCTATAAAGGTTGATGATGCTCAAAATAATGAATCTTTACCCTGAACTCGACATAAAACTTAAAATAGTTGACAATTCACACACAAAAAAATAAAAATAAATAAATTTTAAAAAAGCTACTACAACAACTCTCATTATCCATAAATCTGCCAAATTATGGCTGTGCATCATTTCATTTACTGTTCTAGACTTAAGGGAAAAAAAAATCACATATACAGATGCATCCATTGTATAGCATTTATTAGCCATCTGATTGGACCTCTGAGTGACACAGTGTGATGACACCAGATGGAGCACTGGAACAAGCAAAGGAACTTTGGTGATTGAGTCAAGTTATGATTTAACTTATTGTGGTTTTGTTTGTTTTTAACAAAATAAAAATAAAAAAACACAAGGAGGAAAAGAAAGAGGTTGGACCAAATTAAAAGTGCCTAATAGGGTATTATAAAGTAAAAAAAAACAAACAAACATGTGTTACCGTTAAAGTAACTCTGCACCATCACCACTACAGCACAATGAAGTTATTATGATGCCAAGTATGGGTGGATAACTAACCCTCCTCCTCTCCCTCCCCCAAAGTTAGTGGCCAGACTCCATTAACAAAATGGGTGCATTTTCTAGCACCAATACTTTGACAGTCACTCATTTTAGTCAAACCACTTAAAAACGGACAAACGTATGAAGCCAAGTGTGGTCCAACGTTGAAAAAAAACCTCCAAATAACCTATAGTGACAGCTTTGGTGTTTTAGACTTTAATTATCAATTGAGCCTTCAGTTCAGCATAATTATTTAGAGAACACTTGTGTTTTGTTCTATTGACACAGTTACTAGGATTACAAAGAACAGAAAAATATATAGTTTAAAATGCCAAGCATCAAGTACAAGAGGTGCCACATTATAATGTAAGATGCACGGACAACTTGATATGTCTACATAATGATCAAAACCTTCAGACAGGTCCATCTTCGTTTGCATAATTTGGTACGCAGCAAATGCGTGAGTCACAAGAAAATAAACAATGAACACAAAGAGTACAAAGCAGTACTAACAATAAATGACATACAGGATTAAGGTAGGACCAACAGAGAAAGAAAACAGAGGGGTGATAAAAAAAGGCAGGGGCTCCCAGGGGAACTTACCACAACAGTGGCTAAGAGCCAATATTTAAGTAATACTGTATCAAGGAGGAAACCTTTGCACACAAAGTATTCGGGAGTACAAGGGGGTGGGAGGTTGAGGGGAGAAGGAACAAATAAACAGGAGCGCAGCAACATTAAAGGGACACTGTAGGCACCAAGACCACTTCAGCTCATTGAGGTGGTCTGGGTGCCAACACCCATCACCCTTAACCCTGAGCATGTAATTATTGCAGTTTTTACAAACTGCAATAATTACCTTGCAGGGTTAAGTGGTAGTGGTAGACAGCCACTAGAGGCTTCTTTTGGTCTTCTATACCAGTGTTCCTCAACCCAGTCCTCAGGGACCACCAACAGTCCAGAATTTATGTATTTCCCTGCTTAATTCCAATGGAGATACTGACAAAACCTGGACTGCTGGTGGTCCATGAGGACCACTGGTCCAAACGACGCTGGACGTCCTCACGCTATGCTAATCCCCATAGGAAACATTGAATGTTTTCCTATGGGGAGGTGTAATGCGCGTGCGCCCATTGCAGCGCATGCACATTAGTTCTCCCCGGCCTGTCTGGGTGACCACCACTTGAGGTGGCCTTAAGAAGCAATGTAAACACTGAAAATGGCATAGTCTGTCCTTGACGTCTCTTTACACCATCACTCATTAAAGCAAAACTACATTCACTAAAACCACTTCATCTTAATGAATGGTCTGCGTACCATGCCCTTGTTTTAACCCTGCAACTGAAACAATGGTGTTTTTCTGGAACAGCAATGCTTACATTGTATGGTTAAAATGCCTCTGGTGGTTGTCATACTGAAAAGAGGAGTCCATAGACTAGTTATTTCACTCAACCAACGTTGTAGACAATATCCATGTAATCCTGTCCTTACAAAAACATTCCAATAACTTATCTAAGAATGAAAGAAGAAAAAGCCTTCAAGAAACAATAGCATTAAAAATACAAATATGTATTCCTAATGCAACATTTTTCCTGTCACTACTCTTACTGCATTAAAATGTAATAAATTAAAAAGATTCTTACCTTTTTCCAGCAGCCCTCGGTGTTATGTGGCCCTCGGTGTTACGTGGCCTTCTCTGCCGATGTCCAATCCAATGCTCCTCATACGTATTGGGGACCTAATGTGAATGCTCAGTGAGCACCATTGCATTTAAACTTTCCCCATTCTTTAAATCAATACTTTCCTATGTGGCTTCCATGTCACCTGAACGAGTTTTACTGTCAGTGCAGTAGACGCACTTGTCATACTGACAGTCACTAGAGGGGTAGGCAACCTTTTAATAGCACTGTGCCAATATAGGAATGTGATGTTCAGTAGCGTGCCGGTCCTATTTTTTTTTTTTTAAATTGAGGTGTGTTTGCTGCCGTATTCTGCTTGTGTTATTTTTACTGCAGTTGCTTTGTATCGTTGTATTTGTGCGTATGTGAGCTAATATATTGTATATGTTCATTAGTAGTTTATGGTATCGTGTATGATACATATGAATGTGGGCTGTGTATGAGGGCTGCTTGTGGAATTGTGTGTGGATGGATGTCACATTGTGTGTTTGGTAGAGTGTGGGGGCTGTTTGGGTTATTGCATGTGAGAGGCTGCATGCAGGGTTGTGTGCATGTATGTGGTTTGTTAGTGGTGTTGCATTTGTGGGGATTGTGTGTATGTTTGTGTGTTGTATGATGGGAGGGTTATTCTGCATTTCTGTGTATATCTAGCAATGTGGGTGGCTTCCCTAGGTTCCAGTGAGGACCAGGCCGGCCAGGTATAGCTCAAGTATAGGAGCTGCAACAGCAGCTGCAGGCTGCTCTGCTAAAGTATGGATTCCCATTTACAAGTCCTGACAGGAAGTGATCTGATATCACTTCCTCTATGTGCTGCAATGCATAAATTGAGGATTGTCCATCACCACCTCTTCGTATTAGCAGATATCTGAAGTTTTACTGGGACTCCTGATAGGCCAGAGCCTGTTTGGCTCTAGCAGCCTTGAGTGCTGTGCAAAGACACCTTGAGTGCCGTAGGTTGCCTACCCCTGCACTAGAGGTAGATTTAAGCCTGCAATTTAAACATTGCATTCTCTCCAAAACTGCAATGTTTTACATTGCAGGGTAAAAAGGACAGCGGTACTGCACCCAGACCACTTAATTGAAATGAAGTGGTCAGGGTGAACATAGTGTCCCTTTAAGGTTTTCAAACAGTTTTTTTTAAGTAAAATTATTCAAATTTTAATAGCATCCAGGACATATAGTGATGAATATTCTAAATAATAAATAAAGGAAAAGATGCAAAAAAGTTGAAGATGTTAGGGGCTGTGTCATTCACACAAAGTACTAGGTTCAGTAAAGCCATAAATAGGGTCCAAATAGAAACAAGGCATTAGTCACCCAGATTACTCCATTTTAATGAAGTGGTCCTGTCCTTTTAACCACTCAATCTAAAACATTGCAGTTTTTTTTTTTTTTGTGAAACAGCAATGTTTACATTACATGGTTAAATCCACTTCATACTGACAGCCCCTAGAGGTGCTTTAGCTGCACTGATCAAGTAAGAAGCAAAAGCTGGAATACGTGTATTTAACGAAGAACAGGGACTGTAGTGTTAATAATAAGAACATTTTTAGCTAGTGATCACAATGATCACTAGCCAAGAATGTTTCAGTTGCTTTAAAACAATGTAAATAAAATCCAGTACAAAGTAAAATGCAAGAAGAGCTACAATAGGGGTACAGAAGTGTGCATGCCATAATTGGACTTTATTGAAATAAAATTAAAACCCATGTAACAAGGAGTGGAAGCTAATATTAGAGACATCTATAACAAATAACAGACATTCAAAATGCTGGTGGGGAACATTTGGGAGTCTCATAACATGTGGTCATTAAACAGTGACAGTTTTTTGCTACCAAATATTAAATTTCAAATTCAAGATGAAAGGTCTGCTATCATTCTATTCATTACAGCTGCATAATTATATGCCCACTTTCTACTTAGAGGCCTAAGGACTCATTCAAAACAGAATGGATAAGCATCCGGTAGCTTTATTCATGTAAAGAAGTGAATAAAGCTAACCAGAAGACTTGCGTGACTCAGTCTTTACCACTTTGTCCAAAATTTGCATGGTGGTAGTCGTTTCACTAAAATTGATGTCTCTTCCATGAGAGTCCAATCCAATGCTCTTCATAGAGGAGCACTGGAGACCTAATGTGCATATGCAGTGAGGGCCGCCCGCATTCAAACCTTTCCTTAAGAAAAGCATTGAGAATCAATGCTTTCCAATGGGGCTTCTGTGTCACATGACCCAAGTTTTACAGAATTTTAGTTCAGTATCACAGCCACTAGAGGAGTTATCCCTGCAATGTAGACATTGCAGAGTTTATGACACAAGGACACTAGACCCAGACCACTTCATTAAAATGAAGCCTGTGACAAACGCTCTTTTCCACAGACATTTGCCACAAACTCCTGGAGGAGTGTGTAAGCTGGCTTCCTGCCCACTGACTATGCCCAGCCGCACTTTGCAGCTTTCCCTCGGTGCCCCTGGTTCAGCACTTTCCCTCGGTGCCCCTGGTTCAGCACTTTCCCTCTCATGAAGTGAAACGCTAGCTCCTTGGCGGCCGTTCGCTGGAACAAACCTCAGCGGTACTTAGCCACAATTGTTATGGAACTGTTTTCGACTAGGTGACCTTGTGGTTCCCGGGCAACTTGGTCCGGTGTTTTGAACCACTTTATGACCTGCCAGGAGGGAAGGTGCCAGAGACTAAGAGGAACAACACTCCCTGTGAGCCAGACGGAGCACCCCATATTTTGGCCACAGGAGCTCCTGAAAGTTGACCAGCCAAAGCACACATTGCCCTCGTACCTTTTATGCGCAAAGGACAACGTGAGTGGCCGGTCAGACTTTTGCCCCGGTGGTGAGTACCTTACACTGCATGGGTCTGAGCGCTATTTGGACAACTTGGGCTTTCAGATCAGGGCTGCAGGACATGTGGGGTTATTGTATGTTTTTTATTATGTTTGCCTCTCTGTTCTTGGGAGATAGTTTACATGTATTTAATTCAATTATCTACCAGGCACAGAGAACTCTGAGAGGGGCTTGAATGCTGGAGATCTTTGTATAAATTCTGTGTGCCTTGCCTGAATAAACCAGTTCCTTTTCACCTTTCACTCAGTCTTGACAAGTGTTTGGGTGGACCAGCAATACTCTCTGCAAGAGAGCTTAAAGGATCACTATAGGGTCAGGAACACAAACATGTATTCCTGACCCTGTAGTGTTAAAACCCCCATCTAGCCCCCCTGGGCCCCTCATGCCTCCATAAATATAGCAAAAAACGGGTTTCAAGCCTGAAGCTGTAACTCTGCATGCTGTTTGCCTAAAAAAAAGAAGCAGTGTGCTGACATCAACCGAAGTGGTAGCTTGATCCAATCACAGTGCTTCCCCATAGGATTGGTTGAGACTGACAAGGAGGCAGATCAGGGGCAGAGCCAGCATGATTCAAACACATCCCTGGCCAATTAGCATCTCTTAATAGAGATGAATTGAATCAATGAATCTCTATGAGGAAAGTTCAGTGTCTGCATGCAGAGGGAGGAGATACTGAGTGTTTGGATGCATTTTAGGCAGCCATGACCCAGGAAGAATCTCTAACAGACATCTGAGGAGTGGCCAGTGAAGTTATCACTAGGCTGTAATGTAAACACTGCATTTTCTCTAAAAACACTGTTTACAGCAAAAAGCCTGAAGGTAATGATTCTACACACCAGAACAAATTTAATAAGCTGTAGTTGTTCTGGGGCCTATAGTGTCCCTTTAATCACTTGAGACTGTACCCAGGACCCTGTTCCAGGGCAGAAAGTGACGGAGAGACCCCAGCCAAGCTGGGGCAGCTAGGGGCTGAAACACTACAAGTGTCCCAGTGGAGAGCTAAGAAGCATGCTTGACGGAGGTACACAGATGGTCCGTCACAAAGCCCACAACTGGATGTATGCTATTTACTTGTGCCAAAGATTCACAATGTAGTTCACACAACTCTAATAAATTAAAGTGAAAGCAAGTTTGCCTGCTAAATAGATTTCAATGCGCTTATTGCATAGAGAAAAGCCAGATGTGTGGAATTCCTAAGACCCAATGTTCATGACATGTAGTTCCGGTCTGTATTAATATTTTTTCAAATAAATACATTTAGTCTTTCCGCAGGTGAGTCTGCAATGTGTAGATCAGCTCTCTGCTGGCGTCACAGTTTATGTTGGTGTGCATAGTGACACATTACACAATATGGAAGTAAAACAAGGTGAGAATTCATAAATGTTCACAAATTAAAATGGCGAAAAATATTGCAAAGTTATGACTATAGTTGAGATGGAGAATGTTTCCATATGAAAACATTTGCTATTGGAATTTAATTTGTAGAAAACTCATATTACAAAGTATGATCAATATGCTGGGCTCTAAGGCAGAGGGACCCATTTTTTTCTAATATTAATTTTGTGTCAGGACAAGTAGACTGTCATGATAGACAAGTAGATTGGGCTGTCGCTTTAGTCAAAGACGCTTTTTGACTACATAGTACAATTGATCGCTTAGAGTAAGCATGTCAAGCTCGCGGCCCACAAGGACCATCTTTGCGGCCCAGCGAGCCGCGAGTGCATGTTCAGTGTTATAGCAGAGTAGGCACCTGCTTTCCCCATATTGCAGGTGCCTACTCTGCTAACACTTACCCGGCTGGCGAGGGAGCTCAGTGTTCCAGCTCCTCACTGCTCCCTCGCCGACTGAAGTGAAGCCAGGTGCCGGAATATGACATCATATTCCGGCATCTGGCATCACTAAAACGCGCACGGGAGCAGTGAGGACTCCAAGGAGATGCCTCCCATCGGCTCCATAAGGTAAGGAGTAGTAACGAAAAGTATGTGTGTGTGTGTGTGTGTCATCTCTTCATGGCGGCGCTATTTTACCAACATGGGCGCTTGAGGATGTAAAAGGTGGGGTTTTTAACTGTATTTTGGGGATATATGTGTTGTATCCAGGAGATAATTAGTTTAGCGAGCAACAACTAAAATATCTCCCAGAAACAGAGGCACCAGGGTGGGATCATCTATTTCTGAATAGGGACTCCATGCTGGGAATCTGTGTATAAATGACCGTGCTGTGCCTAATAAAATCAGATCTACTCCCAACAAAGCTATACAAGCTATATAGAGTAACACTGGAAAGAGCTACAACACTAAGGGAAAGGGAGTCCTTGACGGTGATACAAAGGGGATCTGCCACAGTTACCCAATTCAAACCCCTTTCACAACTAAATATTTAAGGGAAATGATTTTAAAAGCATCATGTAAGCCAGGGGTGGGCAATCTGCCGCCCTTCAGATGTTTTGGACTATATTTCCCATAATGCTCTTAGGGCCATAATGCTAGCAAAGCATCAAGGGAGATGTAGTCCAAAACATCTGGAGGGCCACAGAATGCCCACCCCTGATGTAAGCCATGCTATGAAAGCAACGAGTACAATGTAGGCTAAGTACAGGGCCAGTTAACAGTTTAATATTAATAAAATCAAAGCACATATTTAACCAAAATCTTTTTTTTTTTTTTTTTAAAGCCAGCCTAAGGTTAGTATATGCAATAGATAAAAAAGGTCCACGCACTCCAAGGTATCAATGTCAGCAACATTTCAACCAGGATGGTCTTTAACAAGCAAGAAAAAGACCATCCTGGTTGAAACGTTGCTGACATTTGGGTTCTATTAAATTTGTTTTTTGATACCTTGGAGTGCCTGGACTTTTTTCTATTTTGCCTCTGAGACATGGTGATGGTTCCTGGTTCGGTTGCACCCAGGATTTCATATTTGGATGGTATCAATTCTCTTTTCAATTAAAGGAACACTACATTAGAAAATAAATCAATATAACATCACTATTTAGTAGGTTTAGTAGGTTGCCCCAATGAAAACATGCATGCATTTAATTATGCATTTTTCATTGGGGGTAAATCTTTAAAAACAGCTTTTAAAAACTGCAGATCTCATCTGCAGCCTTTGCAAACCATGCCATTTTTCCCCAGCACAGACTGAAGACAATAAGAAGACTCTGTGGAGCTGACAAAAGCCAATGATAACCTCGACAGCTTGCTGGCATCCGGGGAGGCGTTGCTGCATTTATTTCTAAAAGTGCAGATTTCAAATAGAAATCATTTTTTATAAACTTCAACTAAAATGAGCATATCTTGACAAAAGCAAGTTTTTGATTGTGTTTGATGTGTGTGGGGTGTTCCTTTAATGGTGGTGTGAGTTCGCTAAACACACAGATCCAGGTACCTAGGCTTAGTTTTTGAAATCCTTCAGCTCAAGTAGGCAAAAGGGTCCATAAGTGATTTCATTTCTCTTACAAATCCAACCAAATCCTCTCCAAAGAATGTGATAAAATAGAACATCCTCTTCAGGATTTCCTGAAGTGGAATTTGTGCAGCAATAGACTTTGATAATGCATGAACACATCCAATAATCTCAGTCGCACTGCCCATCGTATCTGGTGGACATTTATGTTGGTTTAATAAAAATGGCAGCTTAGCACCTAAAAAGAAATGCAATAAGAGGTAAAGTTACAGTGAAACTAAAATAAATATATTTAAAAGCAGATAAAGGGTTTAGATTTACCTTCTAAAAAAAAAAAAACCACAAAAAATAGTAAACAAAAGTAAAATTCCAATATGCAGTCAGTCTTAAAGATCAGCAAATTGCTTTAAAAACTGTATTAGCATTTTTTTGGCTGATAAGAATAGTAGTCAGGTACACTTTAGGACATGGTAAATTGCTGCAGCCATATTGTTTAGAAGCTTCGAGTTAAGATTAATTTTAATTGAAAACTTATTTGGGCAGTGCCTTTTTTGCCTACAGTCCCTGTATAGTACACATGTTTTGTCAGAATTCCTATTGTACAGAGCTCCAGAATATGTTGGCCCTGAATAAATAATTGTGTTAAAACCCCCTTCAGTAACTTAACCGAATCCCTTGGAGCTGTGTCAAGCTCCGCTTACAATCCTCCCCCGCCGCCAGCCAGCGGCGGAGACCTAATGTGCATGCACAGCAATGGCCGCGCATGCATTAGGCCTCCCCATAGGAAAGCATTATTCAATGCTTCCCAATGGGGGTCCTCATGCATAGCGTGAGTACGTCCAGCGTCGTTTAAAACACTTTTTGTGTTTTAAGAACATGGAAGTCCCTCTAGTGACTGTCTGATAGGCAGCCACTAGAAGAGGACTTAACCCTATAAAAACTGCAATGATTACACTTGCAGGGTTAAAGGTGATGGAAGTTGGCACCCAGACCACTTCAATGGGCAGAAGTGGTCTGGGTGCCTGGAGTGTCCCTTTAATGGCGAACCCAGAGAAATAGTAATCTTAATTTAAAGGCTAATTTATTATAATTAAAGGCTAATGGGGATCCCACCCACCCCTAAGAGCCCAAAATGCCATCTTTTTGCAGACAAACTGCACCTTGCCAGCTGTCAGTGCATTGTGCTGAACAGGCTAGACTCTCACAACCCCAAACCAATAAATAAAATCAATCTGACCACATCAGTCACACAAAAAGGAGAAAGATCACAGTGAAATTTATATATATATACACATACATACACACACACACACACACATACACACACATATACACACATATACACACACACAAACAAACAAAACAAAAAAAACAGTACATCTACTTCCCTGGGCATGTCATACCACAACCACATCTTATCAGATGACAGCGAAGAAACCAAAATTAAACAGATTTGACAGCTTACTGGTTTGGTTTGGCCTGAACAAAATACCTCTGCAAAATTGGTTAACTGCAGACAGTTTTCAGACGCCAAAAAAAAAAAAAACAAGATCTAATTATTGTATGGAGAATCATGTGGCTAATCAGCTGCTTGAGTCACAAGGGAGGAGACAGCACGTGTGAACAAAGAGTCTGAATGATACAGCGTCAAAACTGCAAGACCCAGCCGAGGACTCCCCACAGCAGGCAGGTTAAAAGCTAAGCAAGCATCACTGGCAAAAGAGGAACAATAGATCTTCCTATCCATAAGGAGAATCACAGATAAATGCATGTTATCTGCAGCAGGACCACAACATGTTTTACCCAAAATACAACCTTAACAAAAAGATTTTAGTTCACTGCATGTTAAAATGAACTGGTCATACACTTGTGTAGATGGCCATATTTGCTTCAGGTAAGCATTTTTATACATTGTAAAACCAACATTGTCACCAAATATATAGAATACTTACTAAAAGTTCCATTCTGCCACTTCCAGAATATCTGTCTCTTAGGTTTACCATCCCCCTGTCCCCACTTCCCACTATCTGGTACATGATACAAATATATGTGAGCGTTAATTCATCAGCAATTTAATGGCACACTCTTTGCACCATAATCACTAAAATTTCCCCTGGCACCATCTGACAATGAACTATCAAAATATTTAAGTATGGTTAGGCACTTATCTGCCTGTCAAGTGGTCACAGTCCTTCTGATCTTAGCTGATATGTTAAAGCAGACATTCATATCAACTAATACCAAGTTGGAATATTATTCATTAGCTGAGACCCATCAGCTGACTTGCTGAGCTATTAAAGAATGTTTCAGCTTGGTATCATGATACAGAAGTATGAACTTCCGCTTTAACAGACTTGCTCAGAAAGACTGAGTACCCAACTAAGAAAGGTAAGTTCTAAATAGTTTTAAGCAGGTTGACAATTCACTGGAAGAAGCCAAGCTTAGCACCACAACCACTACAGCAAGTCTAGACAACTGTGATTCCATTAATTTAGTCATCAATGTTCAAAATCTATAAAAGTAACTTTAGAGAAACACTTTAACCCCTTAAGGACCAAACTTCTGGAATAAAAGGGAATCATGACATGTCACGTGTCCTTAAGGGGTTAAGCACCAAAAACTATTTTAGTCTAATGCAGTGATTTTGGTGTACAAATCTTGCCCCTGCAATCTTACTGATCAATTCTATGCCACATAGGAATTAAATAACTGAGTCTTAGCCACACCACCTCTTTGTGTCCTTCATATTCCCTGCAAATAGAAATCAAATGTTTAAACTTCCTTTATTGCACAATCTTCTTAAGTTAGCATTTCTCATTTCCTGCTAGAGTCTGCAAGAGCCCTGTGTGTCTGATTAGAGTTCAAGGAATATAGAGAAAAAAAAACCGAAAGAAAAAAAAAAACCCACTTCTAAAAGTATACACCATGTGCTGCCAGATTGTATTGAAAATTAAACCAATTATTTCACGTAGGTTGTGTGAGCTGCACAAACAGAAACAAAAGTGATTTGATACCTAAATGACATAGAATTGAGTATAGACTGCACAGGCATGTACTATATATCAAGTCTGATTCATTAAGCGAAAGGTGCTTGCTTCGGTGCTTCGAGTATCTCTAAGTCCATCTCACTCTAGTATCACAACAAGCTTTGACTCAAAACATGTCAGTGTGCGATGATCTACCGTTTTCACTACTTAAAAAGGGACACTCCAGGCACCAATACTACTTAAATGCATTTGACTGATTCAGGCCTGATTAATATCCTGTATATTTTGCATGCTGAAATCTTTATAGTTTTTCCCATAAAAAAAAAGTTAAAATGTTTAAATAAATGCTGCACCATAAGCCTGCATCTTAAGCCACAACCCCTCACTCCAAAAAAAAAATATTTTCTTATCAAAGATGTTAACACAACTGTCATTGACGGACAGTACTGAATAATCTGAACAAATCAAACGGCGTTCGAAAGAGAGTACATCCAAGGATATCACCAGCTTGTGAATTAAAAACAACAGTTCTCAGTGTTCAGGCAGAGACCATGCGCATACATTTGAAAAGAGGTCTTTCTGGCATGAGGAGACTTGACTAAGGAGGTAGGGTTATGGTGCAGCATTCTGCAAAACATTTATTTTGTGCAAAAATGAGAGATTTCAGCAGAAAAAGAATACAGTAGATTAATGATGCAAAAATATATGACATGCATTAAAATTCTATTGATACATGGAGTGTCCCTTAAATTAAAGGGAACCTATAGCTCTGAAAATAAATGGTTTGGGGACTAAAGGTTCCCTTCTGTCTATTCCCTTTTGCCCTGTAAAAAATAAGTGAAATAAAATATTACTCCCCTCCTTCCTAGGCTCCAGTTATGTCGGCATGAATGCTGACATAACCCGCTATCTTGTCCAATCCAATGCTATACAGCAGCATTTGATTCCCAGACCAAGTTTTACTTTGGAGGGGAGAGTGTATTTTGTAGCTCTTTGTAAGACAGCCACTAGAGAGGAATTTTAGCCTGCAATGTTTAAAAAAAAAAAAAAAAAAATGCAATGTTTCACATTGCAAGGTTAAAATTAACAGACAATGGTCTGAGTGCCTATAGTGCTCTTTTAACAATTCCCTTGATTTCAATGTCACAGCATTAACCTGGATACTCCCTGCACAAACTAGGTCCTTTATATCCACACCATTTCTCCTCCACCTTGGACAGCTCATCCAAATCTTCCCACTCCTCTCACTCTCGCCATTGCACAAACAAGACCAACAGTATTTTACCATTTTCACCTGCACAGTGCCCACTTTTCCATGTACCATGAGCTTAGGAGGTTTCCATGAAACAGAAAGAGGCTGTTATACGTTATCACTGCTTCACTGCCCAGTAATCGAGTTCTGAGCACTCTTTGTGGATTGGAAGCGAACACAAATGCACTCCCAATACAAGTTATATATTATGGCTCAGATGCTAAGCGCTGCAGTAACCCAGCAGTGGAGGTGGCACATAATTCAGTAAATATGTCTAAAGGGCCAGTATTGCGGAAAGTGCAATGCCAATACAGAATACTCCATATGCTTGAATAGTCTTTAAACAAAATGTGTACTATTTCCCATCAATAAATGAGGAACTTCAAAAATGACATAGCATACCATGTGGCAGCACACAAACCCAGCAGAGTACACATTTAGAATGAGCGGAAACAAAAAAAATGCAGTGCTGGATCTGCTCTCTTATGTACAACCCAGGAATTGATATAGCACAGATCCTTCGGAAGTTGCATACAATGCTGATATCCACCTCCCCCGATTTTACTACACTACCAACTATTTAAATCCTAGATTTGTGTATTCTAAAATACTCAGATGGTATCTTGATGAAAATATGTATACTGGTAAAGATGTTTTTCCATGTATTCACGATAAAGCAAATCATAAGGCTTTCAGGAAACCATCTAAGTGAATAAAAGCGGGACCAATAAATACATACATTTTTGTAAAGAAAAGTTGCAGTTAATACAACAAGAAATCAACAAATAAGGAAGCCAGAATGATTATCCAGGCAATGATAACAATTCTGGTCTGGAGACATAGAGAAAAATATTTACACATAAGACATACGGAGGTGCTGCATTCTCTGCAGAGGAGAGACAGATTGATAACAGAAGTAAATATTCAACTAAGACTGCTGACACACAATCACACCTGTCAACTGTCCACTTTTAGGTTTTCAGGTGACCCAAAGCATGTCAAAACTGTCACAAAAGCTCATATAATCAATATTAAAGAATGGATGCGTAGTTCACAAAACATTTTTGCTGGTAAAGACCCAAAGCTGGTGGATTTTAGCTGTAAAGGTACTCAAGCTATGTACCCAAGTAAATATACTGGGGATTCCCCACGCAGGAAAAAGGATTCAACACCTCATAACCAGTAATGTTGGTCAGCCTTTATTCTTTGTAGATTACTAAGAATTAAGTAATCATGATTTAAAGTTGTATATGTCAACATATCCAAGAGAAAAGTGTTTTGTTTTTTTTGTTTTTTTTATTTAAAGGGGTGTTAAAATGAGTGACTTTTTTAGAAGAAAATTTAAATAGACATTGAAAGGCAGTCTCTGATCGGTACAACCAATTATAGAAACCAATCAAGAGGCTGCAACAGGAAGTCCACAACTTATTGTAAATTTGAACCAGGATATAAATATTAAGTGTCAGCACAATAATGTAAGCAGGCCAGAATACAAGACAAAAGAAAGTACAAGAATTAGGACAATAGACAAGGTGGGTGGGAATGCTTACTTGGAGGTTGATGAGGAATAAGATAACTGGGATATACTGGAGAGGTCATTTTAATTAGATCTTTTGACAATATATTTGTAATTTATAATGTACAATTGCATATAATGTTGGATAATAAATAAATTAGGGGAGTGACTGACGAGCTATAAAATCTGCAATATTACAGTTACAAATTTTTTGGGGAAAAAATAATGATACCAATACCTACAGACGGACAAGAAAACGAAACAATGAAATGGTAAAATGATTGATGGTGCAGAGGCACATAAAGTAAAAACTGGGAATAAGAAAAGGCATCTTCATATCTAAATAATTTAGGCTAAATCTAAAGAATCAGAAGGTACAAATGGCACCAGTTCTTACGTGGGTGGGGACTCAAATCAAGTCTCCCATGGTTAGAACTGTAACATTATATTCATAACATTACACACAGCCTAGTAATAGGATTGGGAAAGGACAATTTTGAGATAAACACACACTGAAGGGGGTAAAAAAAAAAAAAAACCAAAGAAAAAGGACCTGTGTAAACAAATTAAACATCTTTGCGTTATATAATCCAAACAAGTGTTGTTTGGGTACAATAAAGAAAATTAGGGAGATGGTTGGATGGAGATGGCAGTACTGGGGGTGGGGGTGATGGGGGCAGTGATTTCTGGGTGGTTTCAAGGCCATGTTAATGCTAGGATGGTCACACTGTGTATAGGAGTGAAGGCAGGCTCTGGCCGGCCAGGAGTGGAGGACCCCCGGGGATGGTGGTGGAGGGGAGGGGTGGTGGAGGGGAGGACCCCCCCCGGGGATGGTGGTGTAGGGGAGGACCCCCCCCCACGGGGATGGTGGTGGAGGGGAGGACCCCCCACGGGGATGGTGGTGGAGGGGAGGACCCCCACGGGGATGGTGGTGGAGGGAGGACCCCCACGGGGATGGTGGTGGAGGGGAGGACCCCCGGGGATGGTGGTGGAGGGGAGGACCCCCCCACCCCCGGGGATGGTGGTGGAGGGGAGGACCCCCCCACCCCCGGGGATGGTGGTGGAGGGGAGGACCCCCCCACCCCCGGGGATGGTGGTGGAGGGGAGGACCCCCCCACCCCCGGGGATGGTGGTGGAGGGGAGGGACCCCCTAGGGATGGTGGTGGTGGAGGGGAGGCCAGGAGAAGGTGGGCTGTGGGACTCTGTCCGCCTCAGGCCTCCGGGGCCCACTCGGGCGGGGGTGTCAGTGTTATGACAGGCCAGGCCAGGCCGTGCTCGGGGGGGTGGGGTGGACCCCTCCTGCCTGCTCTCACCAGCTGTGGCTCGGTGTCCGGTATTCGTCTGAGTCCTGGGCCGGTGCTGCTCAGCCTGCCGGGTCCGCTGCTGCTAAACTCCGCTTCCTCCCCTGCTGCCAACCCTGCTCTTCCCAGCGGAAGTGACAGACAGTCATGGGGCTTCACACGTCACCGCCCATCCTGCGCTCCTATTGGTGGACTGAACGAGGAGGGCGGAGCGGGGGACCACGTGACGTACTGTGTCCACGCCAAGCCGCCATGTTGCCTGGGGCGCAGGGATGGCTTGTGGCAGGATTTCTAATGGTTTATTATTGTGTTGTTTAGTAAGATACAAACTGCTAAATGGCACACGTGTGATTGCATTCATACTGTATTTTATTCAGGGCAGGGTTGGGAGGTTGGAAATAGCTGTACTAGTTTTTTCTTTATTAAATTGTTGCATAGATTGAAAGGCTGGGTGGTTTAAATGGTCCTGCTATATACTTCCTATAAAATGTACACCCTGTGCATTGACTGCTGGTAATCCATTGTGATTGGATTATTATACATTGTGATTGTCTATTGTGTAGTGTTAACTATTGTGATGTCTACAAATGGGGCTGTCCATTCACTAGCTCAATTAGGGTTGGTTATAAAAACAAATGCCTACTTCACGGATACAATATTGCTTAAAATGTGGACAGAATACACCGATTAACCACAACATTAAAACCGCTGACAGGTGAAGTGAATAACATTGATTATATTGTTACAATGACACCTATCAAGGGATGGGATATATTAGAGAGCAAGAGAACAGTCTGTTCTTGAATTTCATGTTTTAGAAGTAGGAACGATGGGCAAGAGAAAAGATCTGAGCGACTTTGACAAGGCCCAAATCGTGATGGCTAGAGGACTGGGTCAAAGCATCTCCAAATTGGCAAGTCTTGTGGTTTGTTCCTGAAATGCAGTGGCTAGTACCTGCCAAAAGTGGTGAAAAGAAGGACAACCAGTGAACTGGCGACAGGTTCATGAGCGCCCAAGGTTCATTGAGGCGCATAGGTAGCAAAGGCTATCCCAACTGATCCGATTACACAGTAGAGCTACAGTAGCTCAAATTGCTTCAAAATCTAATGCTAGCCATCGTATAAAAATGTGAGAACACAGAGTGCATCGCAGTTTGCTGCATATGGGGGTACGTAACCACAGACCAGTCAGAGTTCCCATGATGACCCCCACCCACAGCCGAAAGTGTTTACAATGGTGATGTGAGCCTCAGAACTGGACTATAGAGCAAGGTAGAATGTTGCCTGGTCTAATGAATAACTTTTTCTTTTAGATCAGGTGAACAGCCAGGTGCCTGTGTCGTTTACTCTGCAACACTTTAAAAATTGTTCAGGAGTGGAATGTGACAAATAGTTCAAAGTGTTGCTGTGGCTTCCAAATTCCCCATATCTCAATCTGATTGGGCATCTGTGGCATATGCTGGAACAAGTCTAATCCATGGAGGCCCCACCTTGCAACTTGCAGGATTGCTGCTATCAGGGCCGCCACCAGAAATTTTGGGGCCCCTAACTCAGCTCAGGGTCTGGGCCCCCTGGGGCCCGCCTCCAAATACCGCCCCTGGGTCCGCCTCCAAATACTGCCTACAGGAATACACACACAGACACAAACACACACACTGATACATAAGGATACAGATACATACTAACAGACACACATACTGAAACAGACATACACGCATACAGGCATACATACTGACACACACATACTGAGACATACACGCATACAGGCATACATACTGACACACACATACTAACATACATACAGACACACATGCATGAGGACATAAAGACACATACATACATACAGACACCGACATACATACACACACATACATACAGACATACTGACAGACATACAGACACTAACATCCATACACACAAACATTCATAATGGCATACAGACATACATACATACATACATTCAGACTGACATACATGCATATATACAGACATACTGACAGACATACATGCATACAGACATTCATACACACGTTCATAATGATATGCAGATATACATTCATACTGACATACAGACATACATATATACAGACATACATATATACATACATAGACATACATACAGACAGACATACATAGACCTACAGGCATGCAGACAGACAGACATACATAGACATACATGCATACAGACAGACATGCATACAGACATGCATACATACACATACATAGACATACAGACAGACATACATACATAGACATACATACATACACACAGACATAGACATACATACAGACATACATGCATACAGACATACATGCATACAGACAGACAGACATACGTGCAGACAGACATACAGACACAGACAGACAGACACAGACAGACATACATACACAGACAGACAGACAGACATCCATACACAGACAGACAGACATACATGCATACAGACACACACAGCTCATTTCCCAGCCACCCTCCTGTCCCTTACCTTTTCTTTGCAGGAGGGTGGCTGGGGCTGATGGGAGTCGGAGCGGCTTCCACTTCACTGCCTGGCTTTCCCTCTTCTCTGGTGCGCGTGCTCCTCCTGCGCAGAATGAGCTGGGAGAAAGTGACCACTTCCTCCCAGCAGCAGTTGCGGCTTGTTTTTTGTTTTTTTTAAAGGGGCCGGTCCCGCTATATCACGGCCACAGCGCTGACCGGGCCCCTGAAGATATAGGGCCCATTATGGTTGTCACCCCCTGATGGCGGCCCTGGCTGCTATTGTCAAGGTCCCAGATACCACGGGACATGTTCAGTTGTCTTGTGGAGTCCATGCTTTGGAGCATTAGAGCTGTTTTGGCAGCACAAGGGGGAATATTAGGCAGGTGGTTTTAATGTTGTGGCTAAATAGTGTACTTTAGTTTGTGGGTTTTGTTTCCCTGAAACAATAATAACCCAGGGCAAATGTTCAGTATTTTTTTTTTTTTTGGTGCCACTTAGTCACAAAACCGAATATACAGTTAATATACAGTTAATTTTCTTTTCTTTTTTAAATGGTTTTTAGCATTTTTCACACAAACACTGCATTGTTTATAGTATCATATTTATATATTTTACTGCTCACAGATAACCAATTAGGCGACCAAGGCTACTGCCTATGGCCTGGGCTCCGATAGGCTCACAAGGCCCACTGTCTGGGCCTGAAGCTCCAGCTCTGAGTGGGCCATCCTTGAGCCCGCAATGAGATCAAAAGACTGCTTCATGTTCCGGGTGCTGGGAAGTTTTCCTTACCCGAGGACAGGGCTAGGGATGAGAGTGGACGGTTTGCACATCCGTACAAACCTCAATAATGTGTTCCTCACGCTGTGGTGCTTAGTAATGAAGCAGATCGCAGCTGCCAGTATTCCTAACGGCTGCTCAATGACTCATTGAGCGTCGGGCCACAAGGGTGCAACTACTAAGGTATGAACCTAATGGATGATCAGACAAAAAATTTGCCTGCTGGACCACAAGGCAGAGTTAACACCCTTTCCCTCCATGGACCACCAGGAAAAGAATTAAGCCACATGGGCCACCAGGGATTGCTGGACAACTACGGATCATAGTTTTCTTTACGGGGAAAGGTTTGCAGGAGGTAGACAAAACATTAATCACCATTATACACAGCACACATACATCCCCACAACACACACATTACACACAGCCATTGCCGAACTCACACTGTACATATGGCAAGTACACAACACTTGGACACAAACTACATACAGACAGCACACAGCACATAGCCACATGCCCAACGTCCACTTACAATATACAGCCAGTGTGTGCACAAATACGCATACCACATACATGACACTTCAAGGGGGTATTAAAGAGAGAGACAACAGAGCGGGGGGGGAGGGGAGGAAGGTGGCAGAGGTTGAGACACTATGCTCAGGGCTCTAGGCAGGTGCTACAACCTTTCTTTCTATCACATGGCCCTGGTCTCAAGTAGGGTACCACTATGTGGAACACTGCCTAGGACCCTGGGCAACCTTGATCCTCTGCTCATTTATTTGTTCAATTATGTTTCATAAGTACAATCATACCCCCGATGTTTAGGTTTTATGTTAGTTTGTTTTTAATTTACAAAGTTAAACATGGAGTCTGCTTATTTCAGTTTTCATTTATGGAAATTTGACAAATTGATTTTCCTTGCTAATCATGGCAGCATTACTTATGGGTAGGTTCGCCCCTATCCAGATCAAGACAGGAACAACCAATAAAAAAAAGAGAGAAGACTGAGAGACTGAATGCATAAAAGATCCCTCCTCCTTTCATACCTCAGTCTTTTTTACTGTCCTTAGTCAGACAGACAGGAATATTTTGAAAATTTTGTTTGCCACCTTCCCATGTGCACAATAGGTCTCACAAGTACAATTCAGCCTTTCTGTACCTGAAGGACCCAGTAAACAGCCCAGTAAATAGTATTTTAAATCTTGGACTCCAATATATGCATCTATATGCTGAGGACTCCCCGAAACCTGTAAATTGGGAGACAGACTATTTCATATTTAGTAGGTTTTGATTTTCTATTTCATTAGGTATTTCTAATTCTTATTTGATTACTTGTCTAAGTTTTACAAATCTTTCTGTTTTCCCACCTTTACTTTCCTTTCGCCCCCTTTAATCTGTTTGGTAGTTTCTGACATCCTTGCTGCTTATGGTATCTTTTGCTAAAATTTACAAGGTAATTGTATAACACAATTCCTTTTTAGCTTCTTTTTTATTTCATCTTCCTGTGTGCTTAATGGGGAGGTACAAAAGCTCATTCAGAAAGTTAAACATGCCTCAAGGAGAGAAAGGAAAGCCACGATATCCTGCATCTCCAAGCTTCTTCTCTAGGGAGTAAAAGAGAAGTTTACTCCGTCTGAAAAATTCAAAGGCATCTACTCCACTGTGTTCTTGGCACCAAAACCCAATGGTAAATAGAGACTCATCATAGATCTAAAAGAAACAAACAAATTCCTGAAACACCTATTATTCAAGATAGAATCCATATCCACTATTATTCCCAGCATCAACCGAGGAGAGTGGCTTACATCGATAGATCTGAGGGATACTTACTACCACATTCCTATCTCCCCTCTTCCTCAGGGAGGAATGAAAAGCAAGCAACTCCTTCAAGAAATATCTCCCCTAAAGGC